TGTCCCTTAATATCTGCTGCTTGAAAGTAGCATTAGCCACAGTTGTGGTTCAGATTTTGCAATCATATACAATTATGCATTATGTCATGGCTTCGCCATCCTAGAAAAAACAAATTCAGCTAGCAGAGCACTACTGAATGATACGCATCAGGGGCATTTAGAAGTGGGTATACCCAATGCTGGCTAAAAAATATGGTATACTCTGTATACCTGCACATAGCTTGCACTAAAATTTCAATTTCAATGAACAAGAGGTTTCCGTTTTAAGGCCATTAATACTGGCCTTGTCAAAAGTATAAATAAAACTCAAGGCCAAACCCTTTTTATACCTGTCTGCAGATGGCCGTTGAGAATCCAGTGATTATGTGACCTACTGTACAGTATGTTTCCTAAAACAATGTTAATATGCAGATTGGCATCCTTTGATAATATTTTTAGGTTTGCCCCCTGCAAAGTAAATTTTACCATATATTGTTCAGTTTCATTTAGATTTAAGCTGAGTGAAATTACTTTATGTTCTGTCTAGTATAGATTGAAAGAAATCCCTCTGGTAATCTAATTTTCATTGAAGCTGCCATCTCTTTTAAGCACTTCTCATCTGATCAATTTTTCTCAGCCTTTGAAATTTACCAGTGGGTGTGTTAAATATCAAGAGACATGCTTTCCTTCTATCCACTGGGTGAACTAACCATACAGTATATTTCAGTGCTGGATTTGTACTTTAATATCAACATTTTTCCTTTGATCTGCATGACACTATTTCAATGATATGGTTTATGATATCTACTACAATAAATAGGTAAGAGCACTAGTAGACTTTTGCTCCCCTCTGTGTATGTCATTGATTCTTTTCTAAGAACACACACTGCTGGGAGACTCCTGCCTTTTCTCCATCTCTCTCATGATCTCTCCCTCCCTCCCACTGTCTGTCTGTTTCCCTTCAGTCATTCCTCTTTCCCGATAGTCCGTGTCCCTGTTAGATCTAACCCTGTGGAGAGTGAGCATGCATGGGAAATGAGCCTTGAGAGACAGGAGAGAGGATGAAGAGCAGTGTTACTCGAAAGGTCACTTTTGTGCAATATGAGAAACCATTTTTCCAGAGAGTGTGGAGTCTCCTCACCAAATGATCTGAAGAGGAAGACAAAAAGAAGATTTAGCTGATTTCCTATTGACTTAGTTGTTCAGTGTTGATGGACAATTTCAAAAAACAATTTTTACATGTAAATGGAATTTTCTGATTTAGCAACCTTTGTGTGGACATTAATTAAAGCAGCCTTGTAATCCCTATTAATCTTGCAGAGTCACAGTATCCTTGACTTGCTATCACTGACATGACATGCTCACAGGGGCAGCTGTGGCTCCGGAGTCCACTAAAAGGTTGGGGGTTCAATCCTTGGCTCCTCCAGCTGCATGTTGAAGTTTCCTTGAGCAAGATACAGGACTCCAGATTGCTCCTGATGCTGTGCATCGGTGAATGTTTGTTTGACCTTTGCCTTTGAGTGTGACTGGGTGAATGTGTACTGTAAACTCACTTTGAGGGGTTAGAAGACAAGAAAGGCTATATAAAAGTACAGTCCATACATCCAAACTGTAAATACACTTGAACTATTCACTGTGCTCAGCAAGTGGAAACATGTTGAAACTGCAGTATACAATGTGGTCATTATTCCTGCAGCACAGGAGAATGACTTTTAACATGAATGTAAACCGGCAGTCTGTTTGTCATATGATATTACAAATTAGCTGTAATCCATATCTAATCGCATGACATTGCTGCTTTACAGGCCAAAGCCATGGTCACACCATAGAATTCCTCAGGGGAATTGCGACAGTAGTTCAAGCAAAATCACCTTGATCCTTTCGGAGTCATGCTTAATAGCAAGTACATATGACATGGAATATGTTGTCCAAACAAAATCACCAAAAGATAATATCCTTCTCTGTTTTCTTTAGTTTCAAATGGCTTATCCACATAAAGCAGGTCAAAACTAGAGAAAACACCCACCCGCTTTTCAAGCAGAAGAGGCGATATGCTGGGTCACTTCTTCATCGGCTCTAATTAGCCAACTTGCTGTTTATTGTGAAAATGTAGCTTTATTAACTGCCAACTAAAAGCATTTGTAAAAACTCATAGATGACTTTAGGCTCTTTCTTAAGTTAAACATAATATTTTCCAGGAAGGAAAAATCATAATTTACTGTTTAATGAATGCATTAACATTTCAGATTGAAACAATTAGATCACTCTTGTGCTTTAACAATATAATTTTCAATTTAGCATCAGGTAAAGGTAAAGTCATCTGAAATCAGTGACAGGGACAGGGTGTACAGTTGAGGATTCCACATGCAGCTATAATGAATTATGGAGTAACTGGCCTGGCGTTATCCAAGCCCTTCATATTTCATGGACCACATGTCACCATAGCAACAGAGAAACATGCAAGATGTGTCAATTATGAGTCCTAATAGGACGAGCAGTAAACAAAGGGGGGGAAAACCCCATGTTTCCTTATATTGTTACTCTTTTCTCAAAAGGAGCTTTTATGGAATTCCTTTTAAAAATCATAAACTATTAGTTCAGTAAGATTATCAAAAATATTTTCGTTCTTGTTTAGTCTTCGTGTTGTGTGCAGAAAATGCATAGGGGCATTAGCCTACTAGAAATATTGATAAATATATTATGCATTTTCTAGCATCAACTAGCTCACCTCCACATTCTGGTTATTAAAATGTGAAACAGCTTTCTTAACTCTATGAATATTTTTGGGTCAGACAAAGTTAATGAACTCATTGGGGCTGTACTTCAGTTCATAGATATTCCCAAGAACACCACAGCAGCAGACTAGCTGAAGTGTTTGATGTTAAACCAGGAAGAAATGCCAGTGCAGCCTGAGAGTCTTAATTGGACAGTGATAAACAGTTATGCATGGCCAAGAGGTCATTGCCATCCAGAAACTGCCAAATGTTCGGACAGATATTTGACAGGGTCATCTAGAACTTATATAAATATATAAAAATGAATGTTTTATTGAAGTGCAACTAGGAAAAATGTACTTTAATTAGATATCTAAGGCCATAAGTTGAATAAGACATTCAGAAAAAATCAAGGGCATGTTAGTGTGTCTGTTTGCTTTTTGTAATGCATACCATCTGACAGTTGGGAGAGCCAATGCAATCAGATACAGAGCGGCAGGACAGGTGGTAGAAGAACATGGTGGAAATATGCTACCAGTCACCTTCTGGTTACACGTGCTATACCTAACATTGATCTGTCCTCCGGCAGTAATCAGATCTGGAGGAGGAGGTTAAGGTGTAAAATCTGTCCACTTCTCAGGGGATAGTCACACAGCATGTAGCTGAGTTACACATGACCATGGTTCACATGTCAGTGAACATACAGATACATTTAAGCCAGCAGGAGAAATGAATGCCACTTTGAGGTTTCAAGTGCAACCAATAAAGAAACTGAAAGAAGACAGTGACAACAATTTTTAAGCAAGCTTAAACTTGTCCTTTGCTTTAGTTTGAGCTACTCTGATCCTAGACCTCTAACATTTACAGACTTACCAGTATCATAATATCTGGACCCAAAGTATTCCAAACCAAAGACTGTGACAAAGCCAACAGCATAGACAGAGGCTCCTATATCCAGTGTCTCTAAAAGAATAGAGTGGGCAGAAATCTGGGTGGGGAAAGTGAAAAGCAGTGCTTGCCACTCGACCACTGAGGTGCCTTTGAGCAAGGCCCTTAACTGCTCCAGTGGAGCTGCTCAGTGGCCAGCAGACCAGACTGTGGTTGTACTGGACAGCTGGTGTGAATGTGTAACTGTGTGAATGTGATCAGGGCGTTCCAGGAAAAAGAAAGCATTGCTCTCAGTGAAACTCCCCCCTGAATAAATAAAGGTGGGAAAAAAAAACACAACAGTAAAATGATATTCAGGACTAACAAGTTTCATAAAAGAGAGAACAGGAGAAAACCAACCACATCTCAAAACAGTCCCAGAGGAAATCCACTAAACTTCACACAAAACACAACCACTAAACAGGTAGGTTTCTCAGATGTTTTATATATATATCATACATCCACAAGGCACCCACCTTTAACCCCACAAGTTCCTAAAGGCAATTCAGATAACTTCAGTGTTTATTGAAAAGTGAAGTGAATTTAATTTGGACCACTTTTAGAGAATGGAATGAATGTGAAATTAACAATAAAAAACATCCTTGTCTGATCCAGAACATAATGATATAACCCCATCATGTGCCTGTTCTAAATTGGGCTTGAGTGGACATTTTATTACAGCAAGTTGTAAGAAGTAAACAGGACTTTTATGAGACGGCTGGCATGAGAAGAGAGAACATAGCCGTTTCTGCAGAGCAACAAAGAAGCAGAAATAAATCAGCAAAATAAACTGTCACTTTTATGAAACAGACAACGGTAATTATCTCCAAATTAACCAAATCAGAGAAGTTCAACTCATTACAAAATGCAGACTGAGTGACCATGACTCAGAGATTAAGAGGGGGATACACAGCCGAGGCTTAGAGATCATATTTCCTAAAACCAAATCAAAGATTTGAGCACAGCTATCGGACAAATAGTATTTATTATTATTTATTAAGTTTAAATTAAAAGCCTTACAGCAACATGTTGACAGATGCATGACACTGTAAATGTGATATGACTCCAATAAAGTTCATTTGAATTATACAGAAATTACAGAGAGAGAGAGAGAGAGAGAGAGAGAGAGAGAGGAGAAGGGGAAAAAGAGGTAGAGAGAGAGAGAGAGAGAGAGAGAGAGAGAGAGAGAGAGAGAGGCAGGGAGACAGAGGGGCGGTAGACAGGGAGAGAAAGAGAGAGAGACAGAGAGAGAGAGAGGCAGGGAGACAGAGGGGCGGTAGACAGGGAGAGAGAGAAAGAGAGAGAGAGAGAGAGAGAGAGAGAGAGAGAGAGAGAGAGAGAGAGAGAAGGGGGGTGGGGGTTTGGGGGGGGGTGACTGCAGCGGTGTTTCTGTGTAAGCTTGTTCTATCCATCCTCTTTCTTAGTCCACGAGAAAGAGGCGGCGGGGTCACTTTTCGAGCGCATCTAACGCGCAGCGTTTCACTGATGTCCACCAAACCGGCGAAGACATGTTTCAGGAGATAATAATCCCTGTTTGATTTGGATGCCGTGCCGAGTTACCGTGAAGTCGGCTGGACATGAACTCTGAAGGTACACGTCGATCTCAAAGCATTCATGGTAAGAGTCGGCGCGTCTCCTTCTCCTTTTCCCATCCACGTGAGAAGTTTGACCGGAGCTGGCTGAACGGAGGATACCTGTGTGTTCCGATCGGCTGTTTGATCTTTGTGGCTCCAGCAACTGGACTGGTTGTTTCACAGGACACTGAGGTGAGTGCTGCGGTGGGTTTTTTATTTTTATTTATTTTTGTTAACCCACAAACCTCCTAATGCTCTTGGCTGGATATCCCAGCAGCGATTCCAGGCCAGGATGACTAATGGCAATATGGCATTTGTCATTCTGGTGTGTCTGAGGTATTCACAATCTGACTTTATCACGTTTCCTTTTTATTCCAGTGATAAGAGATAGGCTGCCACTTGTTGAATAGCCTATCTGTGTTTAACTAATACGCATGTTGAATAGGCCTGATCTCTAAAATATTTCCATCCAGTTGTGAAGACTTTTTTTTTTTCAATGAACTATGATAAACTATGAAACACTGTAAGTAAATTCTCAACAAGACACCTGCTGTACCTGCAGGGCATCCTGGCTCGGGAGCCCAACAGCAGCACCCTGAGTTCAAATCAGTGCATGTCAGATTCTTGCAAAATGTCCCTTCTATGAAGATTGCTTGAAAGATGTTTGCCAAAAGCAACACTAGGTACATTTTGGTCCTTGAGGACTGTGACCAGATTGCTCAAAAGGGTCTTTTTCTCTCATTCTCTTAATTGTACACAGTCATTTGGCTCCACCTCTGTTGCCATATGTACAGTAATATTTTCCAATCACCCTGGAAACGTAGGTCTTGATACCTCTATTCCCAGTGATGACAGACCAAAGTATCAAGTAGTTGTGTAACATAATAAAAATTGACCCCATTTATTTGAGCTATTGCTCTTGTAGCAGCCGATATGGTTATGGGGTGGTTTAGCTTCTTACTTTTACTAGACCATAGCACCACATTCATCAGGTCGTCTTAATAAATTCTCAAAGTAAATGTGTAGGAATCCTTAATGCTGGCATCAGTAGCACCTGTGTGTTAACTATCACCAGTGTTGATAGAGAGTTGATTGTAATGATGTTCATTAGGTGATGTTGATGCCATCTACTGGATTCCACCCATTTAGCCAAACTGTAACCAAACCTTTTCCCTAACTCCGACCACAAATCTTAATCTAAACATAACCATCTTTAATCTTCAGTTTAAACCCAATCTTCATGTTTAATGGTTAGTGTCTGTGTGTGTGTGTGTGTGTGTGTGTGTGTGTGTGTGTGTGTGTGTGTGTGTGTGTGTTGACCTTGTTAGCTCAGTGGTTAATTGAAGAGGAGAGGTGCTTTAACTAGTTTTTACTGGCTTCCGTTTCCACTAATACCCATTACTCCATAATGAAGGCGACATTTCCTTGCTAATTTGTTGAGTGAGTATCTTGACCTTTGGGCTGTTAAGCCTGTTTGGATATTCTTATATACACAAAGTTCCCATTATTTTCATTTAAAAAAATGAAAGTTTTAGTTGATGGAACATTGCCGGCAAAATCGTGGATAGCAGTGGAGTTGGTGTTACCAATGGCTGCTACAGTACTTTACATTTCTATAGTCCTGCTTGTCAATTTTCAGTACATTCAGACGGTAACACAACTGACATCATAAAGTTAAAACGACAGCTTCTTCTCTCCACGGTGCTGACCTTTAGCAGCATGCTAAGGGGTCAGCAATTAACACCCCAAGAGATACAGTATACAGAACAGAAGCAGTATGGATATACAGAATACAGTATGGGAAGATGACACACACCGTTTCATGTATATTGATTTATAAGCAAGGGACAAAAGAGTAGGCTCGGCAGGTGGAAGATATGAGCAGCTCAACCAGTTGCTGTATGTGGTCGGTAGAGATTGAAGTGGATGAAGAGCTGAAAACGCATGATACGGGCTATATCATATGGTGACATTGATTTTAAAACTATAGCTCATAAAATCTTTATTTAAAGAAAAAGGACAGTAATGTGGTGACTATATTAATACCCGTGGAGGGTGTGCAACAGTTGTCCAGTTCAGTGCTTGTCTTGTTATAGAACATATGACAGGAAAACCTATTGATTTTACACATAATGCTTGCCCTGTTTCACCATAGGTACAGTATTTCTATCTTAACTGATTACAAGTGGCCTTTGAAGGCCATTGCCTTAAAAAAACAAAGCTAATAGTAGAGGTGAGCTGAATAATTTTACCATATTGTCATCCCCCATTGAGTTCAATTTACAGCAGTCACTAGGTGTGTGATTGTAAAAAATCTATTTGTTTTTCTTTGGTCTTATTGGGTACATTTGCTGTTGCGCAGTAACATTAAATGAGAAGCAAATATAGACAGAACAAGATGAAGTGTGCTCATTCTACCATACTAATGAACTGTTTAGTGGCTTCCCCTGTGAGTGTGCGACTAATGCCGCTTGTTGGCTCTATCAATATGCACAGAACCTTTCATCATGCTTAGATAGAGTTGCTTGATGGCTATTCTGAACAACTTGTTTGTCTTAATTCTTAAAAACACAATTATCTAACAATCATTGATTATGTAGCAGCAGCATAACTAGCCATGGTATGAGAGAATGAGAGCTTGTGATTTGAGCATGGATATATATTCTTGACCTATATATATGGTGAATGAAGCACAAGGGACGTCTTGATAGCTTTACAGCTTGAGTGAAGACCACTTCATGCGCTGTAAATTGATGAAGCTCGTAAGTAGACCTTGCTTAGTGCTTAGTTCATCTACAACATACAGACTTGTGACATATTCATATAGGATATAATGTGTATATTTCATTATCTATACTGAATGAGTGGTGCTAGAACAGGTCACCCTATTAACCCGACGGTCTAGAGGCTGAAATTATCCAATTCCATTGGTGCTATAGTGACTCTGTTGTTTACCAGACATTACATAACAGTGACAGATTTAATTTTGTTTGATATAGCACTGTACTGACTACAGCACAGTGTTTGTGGGAATGAGAAAAGTGGGTCTAGTGAGTGTAAACATTGGTGGTACACAAGAAAAAGGGCCTCAGATACTGCTTTTTTTTTGCAAAACCTATTGCTTTTGTTGGACTACTGCTTTATATTGGCTAACTTAAAGCTACTGTTGGTCTAATTCCGTGAAAGTAGGTCAAACCTGTGCGATTAGCCAGCTCCTTCGTTCTGCTCTGGCCTTCAAGACAGAAAAATCATTCAGGGAGAAATAAAAACATGTTGTATGTGGCACTAGTGGCGGTATCACTGACAGAAATGGTGATGGTATTGTGTTAGTGTTCTTTGCTGCATAGCAATGACTAACTGGTCCCCTGGAGCAATTACATTCACTGCTTCACATGACTGCTGGAAATGGAGGGGGGAGGAGAGGGCAATACGTGAAATAAGCAAGACCAATGTGAGGAGTCAGAGAGAAAGAATCCATAGACGGGGAGAGAAAGAGGTCAGTAAGGAAGCAATGAATGAAGAGGTGAAAAAGAGATGAAAAGGATATAAAATCAGCTTTTCACTCATTCAGTTTGTTCTCTATATGCACACACTAGAATAGATTGGAATAAATGAATACTTATCTTGCATAATGAAGGAGTTGTTTTCATTTGAACTTTAGTGTTGCTATATTGTTATCTGTATTCGTTTGAAGCCACACTAATTTTTAATCCACTTTTCCATGCTTTTCAAGACTTCCGCTATGTTCATACTGATCCATCACAAACAATTTAAAAACTGAGTGCAACTTCTATTGATCAGCAAGGTAACTATTGGTAGCCAACCGCAGTGACTGACTTAACATTTTGTGCAGCTGCTTCACAGTAAAAAACCTTTCTGGTGGTAAATGATTATAATCAGTTCTGTTACCAAAACTCTTTTTGTTAAACAACATCCATCCATCCATTACTTATAACTGCTTATCCTTTGCAGGGTCAAGGGGGGCTGGAGCCAGTCCCAGCTGACAATGGGGGAGAGGCATCCCAGGGTTACACAGTCATTTACATTCACTGTCTTACCCCAAATTTCTAATGAATTCAAAACAATCAATCAATCAAATCAAAACTATATATCTAAACCATTACTACCCAGAGATTTTCTTCCTCCCGCTAAATGTACTTATTTTTCTCATTTATTAGGTATTTAAAATGTGTACATTGTTAAACTGATGAGGTTAAAAACGAGAGCCTTAACTTTTCCTAAATGCTCACATTTTGTCTCAGAGTAGGCACACATTCTGTTAACCTGTTAGAACCTGTTAACCTCAATGCCATTATATTGTTTCATTTATAAAGTATTTAAAACGTGTATTGTTTTACTGATGATGAAATTGTGATTTATCAAACGTATATCTCTCCAAAATTGCTGCTGTACATGTTCAAGAATATGCAGAAATAGCAGTAAAAATGGTCAGGAATGTGAATTGGGTCGTCATGGATTGTCATTTTTAAAAAGTGGGCCACGGAAAAAATTTTTTTGGAACCACTTATCTGAATGCATTTGACAAAAATATGTAGTGAAAAGCACCAGAGGAAGGCTTTTACAGTAAAGCAGCCGCTACCAGGAGGTGCGGATCTTGTGTCTGCAATGAAATACTTTAGACTAAAAGCTTTGAAAGGGAGTATTGAACTTAATTAAGGCCATTAGGGCAAATCTAGAAGCAATAAAGGGGATCAGATCAGAAAACACTGAGGATTTTTTCAGAATTTAGATTGTAAAAAAAAACCACATTCAGCAGCAACACCTACCTTACACAGGAGCTATAAAACTATGGTTAGCATATGTGCGTGTTTGACATGATGCCTTTTTTCTTTGTTTGAGCCACTCTGTTGACCATGATGTCAATATAGCTCAGCCGAGGGTGGCACAATCATGCTTTGGTCCTGCTCACTAGCGCTGCATGGATACTGCATCGGTTGGCTCAGGAATGTCCTGCTGCAAATACATGATGGAGTAGATTGGCACAACCTAGTACACCTAAAGTAGGTAATACTATGTTACCAAATGTTAAAATGAAGTATGTGGAGGAGAAAGCCCCAAAACCAGTCAGCCATACAATATAACCATGTGCTGAACAATAGAACCTTTTCTCTCATCTGTATACTGTATTTATTTACATTATACCTTAATATTTATATGTAACATACACAAGTTCAAAAAGTTTATTCCACACGTCACTCAAACATGTTGGCCAGCCAAAAATAGATTGAGAAGGGTAGTGGAGGTTTTAAAAAGACAAGCCCAGATGAGTTAAATGGCACCATGTTTGCTCTGCATCAGAACTGCTAATAATCAATCTCCATAGGTAAATTAATACGAACACCCACTTCTGTGTACGAGCATATATCAGAGCAGCAGAGCTGTCAGTGTTGGTCAGATTCTAATGCAAAGTATTTATCTTTTATTTTTTCTAAAAGTTTTTTTGGGGGCTTTTTATTGCCTTTATGATAGAGACAGCTGAAGATAGACAGGAAAGGGGATGACATGCAGCAAAGGGCCACAGGTCGGATTTGAACCCTGGGCCACTGCAGCAAGGACTTGGTACATGGGTTGCCAGCTCCACCCACTGAGCTAACCGGGGGCCCACACACAGTACTTATCGTTAATGGGGATTCATTTTCATCCTGTTTGCAAAACCTTTGCACACTGTTCACTGCTTCAATCTTATCAAATCAAATTTCCTCTCAAGTGGTTTAGATGTCATTTTAGTGCATTGGGACTTAGGCTTAAGATTATGGTTTTACCACACTTACAACCCGGGTTTATGCTTCATTGTATTTGGTCACATGATTTCACTTACTGGCCGAACAACAGAAAAACGTATGTAGCTGTGATATGTAGGAATGTTTAACTAAGAAGTTTTGATACTGTGGCTTAAAATAGCTAACTGGAAATAAAAACCTTTTGTTCTCAAAAAGTGCACACGTCACCTGTGCCATTACAATGTTGACTTTTTAGTTGTGATTTAAGTCTTAAGATCTCCAGAACAAATACAGGGACTATTGTTTGTGTGTTTGTGTGTCAGTCTCCCCTCTGCTGGCTGCTGCAGACATGTTTCTGTTTTTGTGTCGAGGATGAGAAGTGGGTCACATGCTTGAATTATCCATTTGCAGGGTTGCATGCATCAGTGCCAAGAAATTGCATTACGTGGGAGACTTCTGCTAAGAAGACACAGAGACGTTTTAGGAGGATGGCAGCTGAGCAAGGACGCACACAGCGGAACGGACGCAGTGACGCTTCGGCCAGAGAACCACGCTCCTCTACCTGCACCAGCCTGAAGGTACACAAACTAACATTGGTGAAAGGGTGAAAATGCTCCAGCTGACACCTATTTTTCTTGTAGATGTTATGTGTGTGTGTGTGTGTGTGTGTGTGTGTGTCTTTGCATATTGGGGAGGGGGGTCACATGCTCTCTTACTATGTATGCTTGTGCGTGTGTGTGTAGAGACCAGTACAAACTAAATAACCAAATTACAGCAACTGTCCAACAAGTCAGTTCCACAAGGATGATGTGTGTGTCCATGAGGGATACTCTATCTGCCTCAATATAAAGGAAATAGTAGAATGCCAGAGGAAATGGATCATGCTTTTACTTTTATATTCATCAATTCACTATTGTGGCATTCCCATCAGTTAAAAGAGAACCAGAGGGCCATAGTGCCTCACCTTTTGGGTAAAACTTTGCTTATCATAAGATCCGGTAGCCAGTCAACAGACACTCTTACAGATGGGTTTCCAAGAAACGTCACTAGTGGGATGTGTGTGCACGTGTAGGGTAAAAAGCAAACTTGAATGACTGACAGCTTATGATGAGATCAAAAAGTTGTTTTTGTGTTTTAAACTGCAAGAAATGTAGAAGTTGTCAGTGGGAAATGTTTAGTATCTTAAGAAGGAAACTTCTCTGTTAGCTCAAAGAACAGAATAAGCTAAAAGTATCTAGCGGCCCGGTTAGAGCTCTTGATTTTAATGAGGTGGTGGAGGGTGTGCTCAGAAACTGCAGGAAGAAAGCTCCATATTAAGGTTAGACAGCTCACACTGTTGTATAGCTGTTTATTTAATATTGCTGATTAATATTGTTAGGCTCTGTGATCAATCAGTGCTTGGCAGTCAGTTTGCACACTGATGGCTTTAGATGGAAAATGCATCCCATAATATTTCAGAAAAAAACAAATAGGTATGCAGAGTCTTTTCATGGTGCTGTTTGGCTGATCAATAATACTTATTAAATTCTATCGACATAGTTCCTTTGAAGCTTTGCCTCTGTATACCGCATTTGTTTAATATGAGGTTTTCCACTAGTGTAACACATCTGGCATATATACTGTACATCTGGCATATATACCAGAGTCTAGGTAGGGTATCTTAGCACTTATATTGTTGGTACGTATATTCAGTTTTACTTTGCCTTCTCCCAGAATTCATTTGGGAGAAGGCTGTCAGCGCTGTCACTGCCTTTCTTCCTTTTGCTTACAAAACAAACCTCAGAAAACAGATCCTCTCTTTGTCAAAGACCTAATACAATCTGCGTGTTAGAGTTCATTTTGACCTTGGAAAGGCAGATGACAAAAAAATCTCATTTTTAAGGTGAGAGCTAGTTGCTTTTAGCCATTTCACATGCTGTAAATAGCAGATGGAGTTTGCTCAGTTGTCATGTTCTAACACTTCCCATCCATGTTGGCTTTAAAGTTGAGTCTCAGAATGCTTTCTTGAACTTCAACTCAGTTAACAAACTAATGTCCTGAAAAAGACTGCTAAAAAAAATCTGTGTCCAAGTCTTTTTTTTTTCTAACCTTACTGAACCACATGCAGGAAGTGGCAAGTAAGTAGTGCAGGTAACTTTTATGCATTTATATTAGCTTGAAAAATGACTGTTGACAATTAGGGATAAATACATTTTATGCAATTTTAGACACAAGCATTTGCTGGGGCTGGGGAGCTTTCGGTGCTTAAAGCAAGTCTGTCTTCAACGTTTGAAAGAAATGGCACAATCTTACTCTTACAAATGACTAGTAGGGCAGATGTTAGATAAAGCAATCTTTACATAAATATTTATGTATGCATGACATCATTGTCAATTGCTGAGTTAAGGACTCTTCTTTTTTGGGGCATTTTATGTCTTTATTATATTGCTGACAGTGGAAACCGGAAAATAGGGGGGCAAAGAGGTGCAGAATGTCATGCAACAAAGCTCCACAGCCGGAGGCAAACCGACGATGTTGTGGTTTGTGGTCAGCACCTTAATCCCTAGGCCACCAAGGCCCTGTAACGTTCCTTTACTTTTGCCACTCTTTTAGCATTACCGTTAACTGTCACCGCTCTGTGGCTGCTGTTAAGCAAAAGTTGCATTTCCTAGTATGTGGACTATGTGACTAAACTACAGCGGGACTGTAAAGACATCATTACCCTTCCAGAATAAAGATTCAGAGAATTTAGGTTAACATTTTCCCTAAATAACCTTTTTAAAATGACTGTGATTTGTCTGTAGCTGTTTTGCCTCATCAAGTGCACATGTAATTTATAAGGGAAGCCCATACCCCGCCACAGCATCATGTTATGTAGCCTATAACTTTTTTCCATTTGAAAAAAACTCTTTTAGATTTCTTTGTAGAAAAAACCTCATATGTTTAACCTTATTTCCTCAACAGGCAACACAGTTAATTTATTTTAATATTATCATCTCAAAAAGGCAAAAGTAAAAGTCATTTAGAGATAAAGACCCTTAAATCAAGTACACTTAAGCTAATAACTTTCTACTGTAGCAACTACATGTTGTTTTATTTACAATGTCCTTTTGCTATAGTCATAATGCTAATCCACATTTCCTTCTGAAGAAAGATTACGAAAATAAGGCAGAACATGATTTGAATCTCATATATTTATAAATAGATCAGATAAGGTTTTTATTCTTTCTTCTTTCTCGTTTCTCTCTCCACTATGAACGACCTTTTAAAAAAAAAAGTCCAGTTGGCTGAGAGAATGTCTTCTGCCAATAACATGAAAGTTAGTAAAACCCTAAATGGGATCAGACACTCTTGTTGCTTTTTCCTACATGAAAGTGATGTGAGACAATGGTGTTCAAGCAGCTTATCATAATACAGACTGCAGTGGCTGGACAGACTTTTATTTCTTCTCAGAATTCTCAGACAATTCTGAGAATTGTTGGGTTCCCTAACCGGCTGGGTGGGACATGGCACGGCCAGTTTCAACTCTAATCCGGTACTCAATGTTATTCTCTTCTTTTTGTTAAATCCACCAATAAGACTAGAACGTTGGTGAGACAATGTCCCCCTGTTTAATTTCCTTCTTATTTCTTACCTCAGACACCATCTCAAAACTCACTTTTAGCAACTTTCACACTTTCTAATCATGCCATTCATGTATTGTATAATACATTATTTTCTACTTTTTGACATCACTCTCACAAGTAATAGAAAAGTGTGTGTGTGTGTGTGTGTGTGTGTGTGTGTGTGTGTGTGTGTGTGTGTGTGCGTGTGTGTGTGTGTGCGTGCGTGCGTGTGTGTGTGTCAGACTCCTGTGTTAGTCTAAGCGTATTAGGAGGGTGACATCAATGAGCTAAGAACAAAAGCGGGTCACAGGTCAGAAGGAGGCTTTGTTCACATTTTCATGCATTCCCAATGTGAATCTCTTTTTAGTAATCTTTAATCACAATGAGGCCACTGCTTATTTGCTACTTGCTAAAAGCTAATTAAAACTACAGAATAAAAATGTCGCAATGCATGCCTTTGTTGCAAATCCCAAAATGAGCATGACATGATGCAGAAAAAGTAATCCGTTACTAATTACTAATTCTTTACTTTCTTTAGGATTTACTCAATAAGGAAAGTAATGACATAGTCCTTTCTGAGATAGATCTGGCCATTGAATAGAAGGGCTGGTTAAGCAGCTGGTTAGCTTAGCTTAGCAAAATGACGGGAAACAACTAGCCTTGCTCCCACCAGATGTAACAGAATCCACCAACCAGCACCGCTAAAGCTCATATTAACACATTATATCTGATTTGTTCAATCTGTACAAAAGCTTGAGTGTAAAAAAACTTTCCTTGATGGATGAAGTTTTATTTCTAGATGCTAGAATATAGTTCTGTTGACATTGTATATGCATTTAGCAGGCTAGTACCTGTATTGTATCTACAGAAAATGAAATAATACTGCATAACATTGCTGTATAAATGGTTTTCAGCTGAGCCTGATCTCACAAAGGACAGAATTTTCATCTAATAAATTGAGAATTGCTGTTCAATGCAAGAAGTTTCTTTGAGCAAATTAACATTTACCTTGAAATGTTTTCTTTTTTTTGTATTTTTCCTAGATAGTCAGTGTGGTTGAGGTTTTACAGTGTGCAGTGCACATTCAGGGCTCTTTGTGAACTAAAGCATGTAGATGGTGTAACTGGGTGCAGCTCTAAAATACCTTAATAGGAGGAACAAATGGTGAATTTGATTTCAGCCTGTAACCTTTATCACATGTTATTTCTATCTCATTTTTTATTTTTTCACTCTCTAGAAACTGTTGAATAAGAGCAAAATGCCATTACAAATCATTGTGAGGGGAATGTGTGTGAGAAGCTGATATCAGCCACCTGAATCAGCTTTCAGTTCTCATTTGCTTTACGTGTGGTCCTCACCATGGCACCTTAAAAGGTTGCAGTGGATGAGTAAACTAAATTTTAAAAAAGCGATGTCATCTGAAAAGAGGAAATAGAGGTCGTAACAAAAAGTATCTTTGATATTACAATGATTTTTTCCTGACTTCTCTAATATAATTACCCATTGTGGTACAAACTATGTCATTGTGAGCCATTAAATAACTGAACGGGAATCAGCTGAAATGTAAGGTAATATAATAACAGCTTAATTCCCACTGAGAGTCAATGCTGATAACATTTTCTGTCAATTCCTTTTCGTCCCTTCTATTTGAAGATAACTTAGATTGCATATTAGTTTCACATAAACCTCTGATCAAGACAATGTTGCTCAGAACACAGGTTTTCACCAACAAGATTAGATATTAAATATGAAAAGCCTTTTCGTAGCTTTGGAGGGAAACATAAGTGTATGCATGCTTGCTTGCAAATTAAACCCCCCAGGAAATGCACATGTGATGAGCTACTTTTGCTGACACCCCGCGGCCAGCACTGGTGGTCAACATGATCTGTTTGAAGTGATGGGCCCTCTTACATCATATCATGTAAATAGAGACACAAGGAGAGGTACAGGGATAACAAAAGCTGTTACTCTTATGTTACTCTTAAGCTGTTAGACTTCTACTCACAGCTGCTATTTTCCTCTCTCACTGGTAGTATAGTCAGCTGCTTTCAATCTATCTACACTAAATACTCTCACTAAGCCATCAGAAGATCCAACTGTATTCTCATTGCTGATTAGTTTCACTTTATGAGTCATTTTGTTGGAGTATACATATACTGTAGGTATGCTATATATACTTCCAGCCATTGTTCTGTCTATGAACATGGTATGTCTTTGCCTGATCATTTGTGTAATGTGATTCTCATGTCCGCTGCTTTTCTCACATCTAGTATAAGAACCACGACCAAGGCCAAAAACCATTATGTATTTTCATAATAATCATTGGAGTGATACTTCATTCACGTCATTTTTTTTATTCCGCAAGGCCATTTATATAGAGATATAGAGAGGCAAGGAGGAAGAGTGAAAGCAAAATGGAAGCATGAGGACAAGACAAAGCGTTGTTTGGCCATGTGGAAAGAGGTAGATCTCTTCTGTGCACACCACGAAGAGCGGTGTAGTTGTGGCTGCTAAACGTACAAAAAACCTGAACACCCCTATCTCGACTCAGCGTTTGGTTTGTCCCTTCTGGGCTACTCTAGGAACATGGCGTTTGAGCAAGGCAGACTCCATGGAAGGCGACCCGCAGTGTTTGTATATAAAAACGGCTCATTCTAAGGTAACAAAAACGCACCAATGCCTATATTCAGCTGATTATACACTAATGAAAACATACCTATCAATTTTATATTATATTTCTGTCAACAGAGCCTCCTAAATGTTACACGCTGGACCTTTAATAAATTATAAAAACTAGTTGCTTAACAAGCAAACCATTCATCCAGCTATAGCTTGGTCTCTATTTGTCTTACTGACGTCTAGCTACAGTTAGTCAGCCCAGCTCAATGGGGGTAAAAGAAACATACACCGATTCATATAATTTGATAATTGGGTTTAGCATGTCCACATTCTTTTTGATGTTATGCCAAGATTGTCATGGAGGCCCCTTTGTGTTTGTGAGTGTGTTGCGGGTGCACTTCCCTGGTATATACAGTCTATATCTATGACGTATTTTGAAAATTAATACCTAATAATATAATTATCCTATGAGATAACATATAATCCTATAGACAAGCAGGGGAAAACATGTGACTCTAGATTTGATTAAACTAGTCAACCATTCTTGAACACAAATATGTTTTCATTTCTGACGTATTTCACAGGAAAGTGTATTAAACAAAGTTTATTTTGTGTTCTCTTTAAGAACAGTTCATTTCATGATACACAGGGGAATAATAATTACTCAGTAAACACTACAAACATATATACATAAAGTTATAAAACAGAACAGATATACAGTGGAAGGAAAAGAAAGATATATTTCCTCATTTAATCCAGAGGGCCCCACTGTATTTTATTCTTAAATCCAAAATGCTTCCTATCTTTACAAGGTCCCCACCTCAAGGCAAGATCATAACTTTCTCAATTACTCAGAATCTCATGGAAGCAGGGGAATTGTGGTTGTCCTTGGCATTGTTCCCAGTGATCGCACAGTCTGTATTATTGTTGCATCTTTAAACTCCATGTTGCACTAGTGGTATTTCTTTAATGCTTTGGATGATCGCTATTGCTGTAAGAGTAGTTGGCTACCATGTTTGTACAGATATTTATAGTATAGTGTTGGTCTATAGTGACAGGATGCCAGGTGCATCCACCACAGAGCAGACTAGATTGTTGTGGGGATTGTAGGTAAGGCATTGGTCTTAATTGGTTAAAATAATACAGTATCCGGTATTTCAATTCAAATTACAATTGGAAATGAGTGTAATATTAGTATGTTATCTTTCTTCAAGTATATCACAACAGACACATTTAGATAATAAAAGGCTAATAACATAACATAAAAAAAACGATTAAGTTAAAATTGGAAGACTCTAAAGAGGTCGTGGGAGAAGAAAACAATACTTTGGAACTTGGTGTCTGTCACTTAGAATATACTGTATCTCGAGATGCTGATTATTTATAATCTGTTTCTCTTATTTAGGAAGTAGTGTGGAGTGCTTAAGTAATTAAGAATGTTGTATCCATCTTATAATGTAAAAACGCCAAAACCAACCCATATTGTCGTTTTATTCATTTTTGTCTTATTTAATTTTAGATCAGGAATTGACATTTCCTACTCAGTAAAAAAAATATATAAAAAAATGACCCCAACTCTGAGTAGGTTTTGTGAATACTTTGATTTTAATAGATAACTGAATTTGTCTGGCATTTTGGACCTCTGCCAGCAGTGAATCTGTTTATTAGATTGCCTTTGGTCGTAACTCTGTGAGAACTGTTGATCTGCACACAGTCACTGTTAGAGGTGTCTCTTCAGTCTCATTATAGCACAAATTAAAACAATAAAGATGGAAAAAAAAAAGAAATCCACAAGGACGTCCTTTCTCGTTTTCTATTTTATGCCATGCATTTTTTTTGGCTTATTTTGTTACAGGCAACTTCTGTCTAGCCCTGTGCTAATCCATCCTACATGGATTACTTCCTCTTGTATTAATAAACATCTATCCAGCTGTCTCCACTCAAATGTAAGCCAGTTATTCTCTCATTGTTGCTGGGTGTTCATGCTATCTGACCTACACTTTGTGTTCATCTCCATCCCTCTCCTCCCGCTCTACACCCCTTCACTCAACTCAACCCCATTATGCCTATGATGCTGGGACTCGTTAATTAGTGAACGTTGGACCAGTGAAAGTAGGTCAATGAGGGGAGTTCATGCATCGTAGCAAACACAGCAATATCACAATTGTCTTTCTTTCTTTTTTTTCATTCTCAGTGGACAAAACACAAGTGTGAACATCACAAAATTGATATCAGTGATAATTAGGTTAAAGCATGTTTACGTGTATGTATTTTCATGCTCCTGTGCATATTAATGTAAATCCCTTTTTTTTGTTTCTTTCTCACTATCTATCTCATCTCACTCTCCTCTCCCAGATGTTTCTGGTGGCTTTGTCCTTTGCCTATTTTGCAAAGGCTCTGTCGGGGAGCTACATGAAGAGTACAATAACTCAGCTGGAGAGACGCTTTGACATCCCTAGTTACCTAATAGGTGTCATTGACGGGAGCTTCGAGATAGGTGAGTAGGCCTGCCAGTCACTGCTGTTATTTTGTTGTTCTGCTCGCAACCTCTGTGTCATGGGCTCCCCTCCCTTCTCTCTTTCTGTCTTTGGGACGGAAATATGAATGGGTCACAGAGTAATTCAAGCTGCAGATAAAGGATTCATCAGGTTTCCAAGAGGAGGACAGAGGGGTGTGTGTGTGTGTGTGTGTGTGTGTGTGTGTGGTGTGAGTCAAAGTGTTGAACAGGGACATCACAGACTCCGATATTTCTTTATGCTGTGGGCAGCCGTACTCCTGAATGAAGGTTTTTCTCTATACTATTAATTTAATCTCGGCTTTCCCTAATAGTAATAAACATGTAAATCAGCTAGAGGCAGATGGACTATTTGGGCAATACTAAAATAATTTGTTGTGGAAGTGTAACACAGACTGCCCAACACTGTGTAGACATTTATAAGACGTTATCTGCCCTGGGAATGCAGGTGATCTTAAGGACACATGATCTATTCAATACAAAATGAAATTGGCTGATCCTGCAGGAGGGAGAACATGTTTATGAATCAGCTGCTTTTAAAGGGCAACTCCACTAATTTTAAACATCAGAGTCTGTTTGCAGGTCTTGGGGAGTACTTCTACACATGTCAAAAAGTTATATGAAGGCTCCAGGTGGAGTTTCAAAATGAAAAAAAATCTGTTATGCTGTAGTCGCATTGAGGGTCATGTAGGTGCCAGGTTTTGACAAGGAAGAATAAAACAGCCGATATCTCTGGTTTTTCTGGATTGTGTGATCTCGTTTTAAAGTACCACTTGTCCTGTAGGTTGAATGGTTAACTATAGGAAGTTGAAAAACGTGATTTATAGTACTGGTACTGATATCACATAGAATAAAAGTTATATTTAAATGATTTGACCAAACCACGGATTTCATTAGCAGCAGCAGTACTACTGAATACATACCAAGAATATTGTACAGACTGTAACCTTTGTTTCCTCTTAACATTGTAGAATTCTTGATGAAATCCAGCAAACTGTGTCCCCAGATTGTCTACTGACCAGTTTCTAGGCCAGTTATGTAAGGCTACTCGATTCAACTCAAGTGTCTCTAAGAGGTTAGAAATCATACATAGCTTCCAGAGCGAGACAAGACCCAAAAAGACATGATTCATAGATAAAAGTCGTCATACACTATCAGCCATTCTACTTCTGTTCCTTTTACTGTCAGGGAGGCAGTTTGGGCCCACGGTGACACGGTAGTAGTGAAAAACAAATTTCATTTTTCTTCAATAACATTATGTGTTGTGTGAGTGTGCAACCTGCTGTTACTCTGATGGATGTGGGGTGTGTCTGCTGGAGGAAAAAGTGAGGATGACACCTCCAGCGCCAACAGTGCTGAATACCCTGGATCTCTCTCTCTCCTTCCATCTCTCCATCTTTCCATCTCTCCGTCTCCTGTGAAAGCTGCTTCTCTCGTGTGGCCTAGGCAACAGGCTTTTTCTATAGGACCGTTGCCAGGGTAACGTAGAGGCAGAGCAGGGCAGCGTGAAAGGAACGAAAAAGGAAAGTGCAAGAAACACGAGAGGAGAACAGAGCAGAGGGAAGACAAAGGGAAAGAGAAGAGGGGGAAGAGGAGAGAAATAAAGAATAATAAAGAAGAGAGGAGAGTAAAAAAGAGCAAAAGATGGGTGCTGAATTAGTAGCCAGTTGAGCTCAGCTGATGTATACACCCGTACATATGCTGCATGAATCTAAGAATGATGTACTTAACACATACTGTACTGTAATAAAGAACAACAACGAAACAAGTAACGAAACAAACAAAATTATCATAAAGAGAGCACAATTAAATCAGTTATAAAAGAAATGTCTCCTGTTTCACTACACACAGCCAGCTTTCTCACTTGTAGTCACTAACATTAATTACTAATTACCATATAGAATACTATGTAAAAATAACAATCTTCTAAAAATTTCTTAGAACCACACATAATGGTTACACATGGACATTTATTCATAATTACTTCCCATGTGGCTCTCTCTCTTTATTACACACACAAACACACACACAACAATAGTTGATGGTTGTTGGAGAGTTTGACGTCATCCCATCAAATTAACCTTTAATAGAAAAAGGTCAGGCAGCATGGCATAAGCTTATCTTTCTAGGCCAGTTTTCCATCTCGTTTACAATGGAGTTTCCATGTCATTGATCATAGATGCACTAAAAGGTGACGATAGAAAAATGGTCATGTTCCCACCCAGCATTGTTTAAATTTTGTGTCATCGAACACATTCGCTGCTACATGCTGTCAATCATAGAAATCTCTCTGTGCACGAAGAGAACACATCAAGTGTGAGGACAGCACCTTCTCTGCCACCAAATTTCCGATGAACGCAGTGGGTAGCAAGTATCCAGTCTCACAAAAAAAACGGTATAAAATAAATATAATGACGCATTCCCTCTCAAACTGACTATTTGCTCCAACTCTTGCTCCTTCTCCATCCTGTGTACAAAAGCACTCTAAATCCCTGATATTTCTGGCTGCCTCCGTCCTCCCAGGTAACCTGCTGGTGATAGCTTTCGTCAGCTACTTTGGGGCCAAGCTCCATCGGCCAAAGATCATTGCAGTAGGTTGTGTGCTGATGTCCATTGGCACCTTCATCATCGCTCTGCCTCACTTCATCATCGGACGGTGAGTAAAAAAAATATTTTTCATTTTTAAATGCATTTAAAAAAAACATTTCAATGAACTGACACATCTGTGGTTCCTGTAGATTTGTTGTTGTTGTATTATATTTTTGAAAGTCCCTTGATTGACCCAAAGATGAAACAGCCTTGTAAAAATGTCATGCTTTGGACTAAAGTAGGCAAGGTAAAGCTGTTATTTCCAGTTGTTACTTAGTATAACACTGTTGGGTCAGGTTGGCTTCACTTTATCCAACAGGAACTTTATGAAAACTACCCTTCAGTAAAATTCACAGATTGTATCCTTTAACCATGTCAAGTTATTATTATTTTATCTCTGCTCCTTTTGTGTTTTGTGTACAGCTATGAATTTGAAACATCTGTGCGGTGGGTAGTGAACTCAACACTAAACCCCTCTCCTTGTCCGGTGGGCTCACCAGCAGACGTGGCCCAAGGTGGTAAAATGCCTGTAGTGCCAGCCACAAGTGAGCATTTACACACACACATGCACGCACACCCACGCACTCTAGTTTAGTCAAGTAAAGACATCCGATTATGCTAATTTTCTTCCTCCAGGTTGTGAAAGCGAGTCCAACCTGTCAATGTGGATCTATGTGCTCCTGGGGAATGTCTTGCGGGGGATTGGAGAGACGCCTGTTCAGCCACTTGGGATCTCTTATATAGATGATTTCGCTACTGAGGAGAACGCTGCGCTATATGTTGGTAGGAAAAACATCACCCAGTGGATGAGTGAAAAAAAAACACACTTAATATTCCATGCACATTATCTGCAAAATGTGATTTCTTAAATGTGCAACTAGACTCTTGCACCAGTGCATCAGCTCTACTCAGCCTTATCTAATATGTACATATGCTTGATAATAAGGTTTTTAATCACTGACCTGACATTGGAGATACATTTTTGCTGATACATATAACTAATAGTGTTAGATTTGGACTTATATTTAAAATAGGCTTCACTTGATGTCATAAGATATTTCACTGTAGTGTTGTAGGCACAGCATATTTCCCATGTAGCTGTATGTTACCACTTGAAAATGTTCAGTAGCTATTTCAGGTAAAAATAAAAGTACTACAAAAAGACATAAGGCTTCAAATTCCATTCATCATAAAACTCCACATCCTCGTCCAATTTAATAATTCCTTCAGATTGAGAAGTGCAAAGAGGCCCATCTCTTTCTCTTCATTGCTGTTGAAACTGCAAAAATGCTTTTCGTGAACATTCAGGTCTCAAATGCACTCTGCAATCAAGACAGTTAAAAAGAGGATTTCAGGCTAGAAATTATTTTCAGATTTCAAATATGCACATGACAGGCTTAATGCATGAAACAATAATGAAGATTTGGCTGCTGCCTCTCTGTGAAGCAGCAAACACTTCTCCAGAGCACATCACAGTATCTCACGATAATTTCAGAAAGCTCTGCGGTATGCATGAGTAGTGTTCTGCTCAAATATGAGGCAGTAAATTCCTTTAGTGTTCTGCATTAGCAAATTGGTATTACTGAAAAAAAAAAAAGCTTACTTATCAAGCCATTCTCAAATAAATGAGGGTTAAAAACAGGTTCAAAACAGTAGTGTAAACTAATATGCATTAAAAAAAAATTGTGTTAAATGTTTTTGTAGTGTGTACTATCTAGAGTGTCTCAATGGTTGAAGCAGAGTCCTAAGCAGTTCATGCGTTGTGTGTCTCTTTGTGTGTGTTTATGATATCCTAGGCTGTGTGCAGACCATCTCAGTGGTTGGCCCTGTGTTTGGCTACCTTTTGGGCTCCCTTTGTGCCAAAATCTATGTGGACATTGGATTTGTAAAAATGGGTGAGTTTTAACACAAGTACTTTTCAAGTATGTTCAGACCATTATCCGAATTTGCGGACTGTCTAGACACTTTTGATTTCATTAACCTCTCATCCTATACTCACAAAGAACTGAATTGATTTTGGAAAACACTGGTTGTTCTCATATAATATGGAAACCTACCCATCTTTGAGAGTTTGTTAACACTGTTGCATAAAACAGTGGTTTGGTTTATTAGGTCCGTTTGTATCATATTTACTTGAAAGAAACTTAAATGTTAGTCACAAGAGTAAGTTGAGGATACCCTTTCTATATTTGGGGGTTTCCGACACTTACTCCGCTCAGATTCAATTTGCAATTTCATAACACGTTCATCATGTCATCAGGAATTATCAGGCAACACTAGAGCCATTGGTAATGTTATTAATACATTACAGATCAAAATATCTGCTCTGAAAAAGGAATTTTCAGTCATAAAACTGAGGCATGATGTTATCAGAAGTGTCTGCAGGAATATGTCAAACATTATGCGTACCGCTGACAGACTCAGAGCAGGTGTACAGGATTAGCATCAATTAGGTAATAAACAAGGCACGGTGAGACAAAGGAAGGACAAAGCCCTGTGTTAGGCTACAATCAAATAGAGTGCAGCAGAAGGAGAACCAAGACAAAAACAAATAGAAAAGAAGCAGAAGAAAGACCTGAGAAAGAAGACACATACAAAAATAAATCAGGTCAAGACCAGTTGCAAAAAACATGTTCTCTGAATGATAAAAATAGGTTAATTACAAACGAAGTCCACCATGAAGGACTACATAAATGACACACATTAGTAACTTCTGCAAACCTCCATGACATTTCAGGCTTTTCATCTCAGAAATTATCACGATAAAATTGCTGACTACAGGTTGTTGGGGCTGTTCCGATGACCTCTGTTGTGCCTTAATAATGGCAAATTGGCTCTCAGTGCTCCATCTTTGGATCCTTTTATTTGACCAGCCTGTCAAGTAAAAAGAGAATAGGCTTTAGAAACACTATAAAATTGTAGCACTTAACCACACAGGATCTGTGTTTAACCACAAGCTACTGAAGTGTGCACCATAATTTAATCAACCGGATCATCACATTAGCATTGATTTATGTCTCATTGTCATCCCCCACACAGAAACTATCACCATCACCCCAGCAGATGCCCGCTGGGTGGGGGCCTGGTGGCTGGGCTACCTCGTAGCTGGGGTCATCACCCTGCTCTCTGCCATCCCATTCTGGTTTCTGCCCCGCTCCCTGCCCATGTCTGGGCCCCGGGGCCCAGAAAAGTGCACAGCGGAGCAGACAAGTTTCATTAAAGACTCCCCTCTTTTAAAGCACAAGTATCCTGCAGATGACAATACTAGTTTCATAGAGATGGCCAAAGGTAAGGATGGATTTCAATTAAAAATATTTAATACTTGTCAGAGTTGTTTAACTATGTGCTCTGTGGGGGTATGTGAAGTACTGAATATGTATTCTATTGTATGTTTCAGATGGTTATTCAGATTCCATCAATGGTCCCTGTACTTGTTGGTCCTATATGTAGAACTAAATGGACTGTAGAATTAATTGGCTGAAAACAACACACTCACTTTTCACCTGGATCAGATTGTGAATCGTGATGTGAAATCAAGATTTCTTTTTGACACATCAGACAGTGGGAACTGCAGTCTTCTGACAATGGACACTGTGCCCTGTGGAGTTTTCTTGTGAAGAAACAAAAGTTATGTTTACATTTAGAGTTTCTCACCAAAACACATTGAGCGTGTGTCCGTTAGGTCCAGCAAACGTGCTGAGTTCAGTTCCTTCCTCAAAATACATTTGCAAAGCAAGTTTTTAAACATTTTAAAACGATGTATTAACTCGTGCATTGTTTATATTAATGTCTTCTTCACTGCCTTTATTGGCACATTGCCTTACTGCCAGAAATGAAATGTTTTTCAGCGGCATATTGTAAAATGAACAGCAGAATGTGGGTAAAAACATTGCTCCATAGTGCTCCCTGTGGCCACAAACTTCACAGATTATCTTTAAATTTAAAATCACCACATACTTTAGCTGGAATAATGTTGTATTGACACTGGGAAATGCCACAGTCTGACATTTTCAAATTGTACACATAGTGGCTTTAATTTTGTCCTAATGTCACAGGGTAATACTACTTCACTTCCTACTATCTCCTGTAGACAGAAAAGCCAACTTAATGTTATAGCAGTAATAAGAGATTGTAACAGAGAGTAGTCACTATTACAAAGAGATATTGCATATTTAAAATGTTCAGATAGGTTTGTTTTAACTTCAACTTGTATCCCTCTGCAGACTTTATTCCAACCCTGCGAACTCTGCTGGCACATCCTGTGTATTTGATCTACCTGTGTGTGACAATCATTCAGCTGAACTCCCTCATTGGCATGGTCACCTACAAGCCCAAGTACATCGAGCAGCACTTCAGGCAGTCTGCCTCAAAGGCCAACTTTCTGATGGGTAATAAATAATATGTGTATTACAACCTTAAAAATCAGCACATAACAGACCCAGGGAAGGCTTTTTTTTCTTGCTTCACAGCTTGGATGCGCCTAGTTAATTCTTGTGCCAAGTATGCACACAACATACACTGTAAAGATTACACATTACACATTATAATTCCAAGCATTTCCCCCCAGTTAATTGATGGTGTTTTGCATTTGCTGAATGAAGCAGAAAAAAGCCCTTTGGAGAGGGGATATTGTTAAAGGGAGAACTGGGCTGGTTATGTTTTGATTCAGCCAGCTAACCGCCACAGCTGCAGAGACGGGAGCTTTCTGAATATGAAAAGTGCTTTGCATATGAAATAAAATATCTAATGAAGTTGATAAGATGAAAGTATCTACGTGCATGTGGTCTCATCAAGGGAGATGCCTGCACAGACCAGACTGGCTGCATATGAAAGAGAATCCATTATTAGTGACCAGAGCTAATGACATGGGTATAGATAAAAGACCATGTCTTCACATTGATGTTCAATGAAGGTATAAGAGAAAAGACTAAAATAATAAAAAGCAGGGCTCGGTTTTGATCAAGCGAACTCGGAATTTGTGTAGTCTACTTTTTCCTCTGAAAGTGTCTCAGTAGTTTATATGCATGTAGTTTTAGTGTCAGAAAGCTCTGATACAGTATAAAATCGTATTGTCTGTCTTTGTTCAAATACATATTTAGCCTTTAAAGCAACATCTAATTCCAGTTAATACTGGTCCTGTGTGTGCTATCTCTTAATGTTAGGTGTGATCAATATCCCAGCTGTGGCACTGGGGATGTTTTCTGGAGGTTTACTGATGAAGAGGCTGAAGCTGAATATCATGGGAGCAGCCAGGTTTGCCTTTGGTACATCTCTGATCGGTTACTTCCTGTCACTGTTCTTCTTCGCAATGAGCTGCGAGAATGCCAAGGTAGCTGGGGTGACACTTTCATATGACAGGTGAGTCATAGATAATGTTAAGGTGTTGGGGTAACTGTTACCAAATTATATTATTACTCCAAATTTAGCACAACACAGTACAGACCTTAAATGCGCCTCAGGAGTTCCTACTTCTAGGATCGGTACGTTACAGAAGAAGATTCACTTTATTAATCCCCAATGGGGAAATTTTATTTTTTCACTAATTTTTTTATACACATAGGCCTGAATTACACACACACACACACACACACACACACACACACACACACACACACACACACACACACACACACACACACACACACACACACACACACACACACAGTGGTTATAGACATGTTAAGAGATGGGTGATGAGGTGTCCAGTGCACTCTCCATACTGTGTCCATGCAACCCTCTGGTTCCCAAGCCAAGTACCTATACGGACTGAGCTACTACCGCCCCAAGTACATCTGGTTGGAAGTAACAAGAAAATCCAACTGAAAATGCAAAACGTTAAACTAAGAGTGAGAATGTGGACTAGTATCTATGCAGAATTGGCACTGGATGGGCGTAGGTTTCCATGGGGGCCACACATGAAAGAACAGCATGAGAACTATTAGCAGAACAAGTAGGAACATGCAGACTGCTGTTTAACTCTGTGGCAACCAGAAAGTGATCACAAGCTTAAACCCAGCCAGAAATAACAGACCAACAAAAAACTCATCCCCTGTGTGTTCCCAATGCACTGCGGAGTCTTAATCCTGAGCTTCGACAGCACAAACAACTGAAGTGACACTGCTGACAAAACAGATGAAAAGCCGCCAGATGGGTGCTATGCGCTAATTGACCTACAGTGAATGTGTTGAAGCTGGCACACACAGTCAAAACACAGCACTGCTTGTGGTAAATAAAATCTTCCATTTGCTAATGCTCATTAATTCTGTGTTTACTTTCACACGTCATGCCCTCACCCCACACTGACACCGCCCACGTTTAAATAAATCCCCAAATAATAAGTTATAATAATAGGTTTGCCTACATCATTAAGTTTTTTTTTATATGTGACATTTAGGAGAGAAAGCAACATCACAATTTAAGGAATGCATAATTTTCTCTTAAAGGCACACCACCAGATGCATTAAACAGCTCTTTATTCTAGTCACCTGACTTTCTCCTTTGCTTCCATCATAAATACGACAGCCACTAGAGGTCAATAAATGTAAATATGGGTCATAATAAGCTGCTTCTACAAAACAACTGTTTTTCTGGTGAGGACCAGCTGGATATTATGTAATGACATAATAAATAATTGCCTCTCATTTGGGCTTTCTCATCCTTCCAGCGTGGATACGATATCTTACGATAAACACTCGGTGTTCACAGCCTGCAACTCAAACTGTTTTTGTTCAGCGAGTGACTGGGACCCGGTCTGTGGAGAGAATGGTATCACATATGTTTCTCCCTGTCTTGCCGGCTGCACCAGTTCTACTGGCTCAGGAAAAAGCACAGTAAGTTGTCAAGGTACTCAAACTATAAAAAAAATATTAAACATGGAAAATGTATTTACTGTATTAAAAAGCATTGCAGGCACTAGCCTGTACAGCACAGCTGGTTCACAACATTGGTACGTTCTTAAAACTGAACATTATGTTTTTTATTTTTTTATTTATTTAACCTTTATTTAACCAGGAGAAGTCTCATTGAGATTAAAAATCTCTTTAGGCAGTAGCACAGTTCCACAGTTACAGACAATCATTTAAAAACAACAGAGAACATATAAATAGAGTCACAGTCAGAACATCATCAAACAATGCATGTACAGACAGAAGAGCCAGCTTCAACATCATTAAGAAAGGATTTAAACCTGTTTATAGAAACCAGCTCCTTAAGTTTGAGCACATTTTGCAGCTGGTTCCATGAAAAAGGAGCAGCATAACTAAAAGCCCTTTTCCCCAGTTCAGTATGGACTCTAAGCAGTAAAAACAAGTCCTAGGTTTGTTTTTTTTAATTTAGGAAGAAAATTTTATAAATGGATCTCTAGGCACAGTCAGTAAAAAACAAGTCCTCAGAGCGCAGACAGAAGATGGATTTAAGTTCCTGTGCTTTATTCCGCACACACACACGGGGGGGGGGGGGGGGGGGGGGAAAGGAAAAGAAAGGAAAGAAAAAAAAGAGGAGAAGGAAGGGGAGGGAAATGAACTGCACACGTTGGGGTACAAGGTAGCTGCAATCACGGGTGGACATGTAGTGATAGAAGGAAGAAGCCACAGAGGATACCTAAGTTGGCTTATACAACTGTATATGAATGGGGGGAGAACCGGGGTTTTTAAAAAGGAGGAAGATGAATAATTGAGAGGAGGGGGGAGAGAAGGCAGCAGGGGGGGGGAAAGGGGGGGCCCCCCCACAAACACAAAAGGGAGGGGGGGGTAGGGAGCCATGACAGTATATGTATGTATGGCCAGATACACTGGTGTTGGCATGAAGTTTTGTTAATGTTACTGTGCATTATTGTAAAAAGATAAAGTGGCCTATAACAAAAAAAGGTTATAGACGCATTACTCTATTGTTTAGATTTGAGCATTTAGTTATTCTCCACTGCATGGAGTTCACAGTTGTCATGATATTTGCAGTCAAAATAAATAATCTGTCATATTTGGAATATCATCAATAAGAACAATAATTGCTTTAACAGAGGAGAGTTTTGACACACAGTTCCCAGTTATTTCATTTTCAAATTCATTTGATTCCAAAATCTATAAGTAGATTATGTGAGTGCGGAGCATCCAGGTCAGATTAACTTCGCCTGGATGGTTTTAATTTCTTAATAATTAGATATAGCAGTGATTTTGCCACATTTTTTTTTTTTTTTGACTGAACTGATGAAAATTACAATAACCCTGATGTCATGGTAACGCTAATCACAGAAGGGAGTTTTGTTGGTAGTTTTCACCCAAATGTAAATTTTTTATTTTACTCTCTGCTGTCGTACTCCATTCGGGGCATATGGGAATCTGAATGTTGCAGACATGTGTATGAGTGTTTGTGTATATACAGTACTCTTTTTGTATTGCTGTCTTTATATGTGTCTGTGTCCTGCTATAAATGTTCATGTGTGTGCGGCTATGCATGTCTCTCCAGGTCTTCTCTAACTGTAGCTGTGTCGGTGTTGCTGGTAACTTTACGGCCAGTACAGGTCAGTGCCCTCACGCGGACGACTGTGACAGGATGTTCCGGTACTTCCTGGCTCTCTCTGTCGTCACTTCCTTTATCATCTCCCTCGGGGGGACACCAGGCTACATGCTTCTCATCAGGTAAGATTAAAATTACAAAAATAAAATGAAAAAAGGACTTTGAAATGACTAAATTACCACTGCTACAAAGGGTCGCATTAGCTTTAATGCCATCATGCCAATTGTTTCACGTTGTGTTGCTATTTTTTCCCGGATTCTCCCCCTCGACATATGAAATTTGACATTTAATACACTGATGCAAATGTAATTTGATGATTTGGAGCTGTGTTAGTTGGAGCTGATTTCAGAAGCTCTTCTTCAGCCCACAGATGTTGCTAACTGGCATTCAAGTTAATATAACCCATATTTGTAGCAGTGTTTTCCTTCAATGACAGTTTTATTAAATTATTTCGATCCCCATACTGTAACAACAACAGGAGCTACTCTTTCTGGGGTCCACATAATGTATTTGCAATAGCTTTTTCCAATGAAAAAAAAAAGAAATCTTCATTTATTACTTTGATTGAGTTACTTTAAAAGGAAAAAAATCTTTTCATTCATCATTTTTGCAGACCTTACGTCTGCACGAGCTGCTTATTTCAAGGAATCATGGGAAGTGTGGGAAGTTTTTACTTTGCTTCCTTCAGGATCAAAGCACTCAGAGACAATGATTGGGGCCATTTATAGCTGACTTACTGTTATCGGCAAGGGATACTTGTTTGTGTGTGTCTTTGTGTCTGTGTGTCACACATATAAACAGTGGCTTCGTCAAACAAACTGTTCAAAAATAGTCTGTTTCCAATCATGTGATTTTGTTGAGGTCTAAATCCCTTGATATGTTGGTGCAGGGTGGAATGACACGGCCAGCTGAAAATCACTTAAATCCTTGAAGGCCAATCTGTGATCTAATACGCACAAATGAGGTCAGGGAGACTGTTGAGTTATCATCAGCAAAGTGGAAACTCTTGTCTTGTTGACTTTCTAATCTTGTAATGAGAGCACATTTCCTAACAGTAACTGACAACTCCTGCTCCTGATAGCTTTGCTGGTAATATTAGCTGAGATGATAGGCATCAATTCCAAACACATTTAAAATATATATATATATATATATATATATATATATATATATATATATATATATATATATATATAAAAAGCAGTGTTTGCAGCAGGTATTTTAGAAAGTTGCAAATTTCTGCAGAATGCTAAATTTCTCAAAACTGAATCAGTGGTTTTGTGTTATGAATGACAATGAACAGTGAACCCATCCTTCATTAATTTACTATAATGACAGGCCCTTGTGATAAAGATGAAATGGGTTTTGACAATCAGTGCTGTATCACTCCCACTCATTTTTCTCAAGGGGATTAGTAGAGGATTGGTTGATGTCCTGTAATTGCATTGGTGAAGGGTTGAGTGAAATGACAGGAATGCAGCTTTTTGTGCGTAGTATGTGTGATACATTGTGTGCTGGACAGAGCTCATGCTTAAAAAAAAGCCTTGAGATATAAATAATCAACCAAAGTGATGGAGGAATATTTTGCCTTTCTGACCAGAGACTGGTTGTTCTGTGTTGTTGTGATTCTAGTTAAATTATATTATTTTGTTACTCATCAAAGGTATTCATTTCTTAAAATGAATATTGTCAAATAGAGCTGTAATATTAGCAAATAAAAATCTAAAAATGCAGGTGACTCATAATTTGGAGCAGCTCTTTCTGGCCTATCAGCTCAATTAGCTCAAGGTTGACCTCATTGGCTGTAGCTGCCAATACATTTCAAGTCCTCTTTAACTGAATATTTTCTGACAGATGAATGAGTAGAGAATGCTGTTCATGGACTAGAGGCTGTAAGAGGGGCGTTCACTCCCAGGCCCCTACTACTTGGTAGTACAGGAGGGTCCCTGTAGAACATGCATACTGAGGTTTTTCCTGCCAGCTCTTGACCTGCACGCCACCCGGGCCCGGACCCAACCAATCTGACTCATGCAAACAGCAGCTGTGTTTTAAAGAAAATAACTGAAAAAGTAAAAAGACATAATCTTCTTAATAAAATACAAACATTTTAAGAGTTTGCCATAGGTAATACACTGGAATACATGCAGTATATACATATTGTATAGCCCCATGTCATGTATTGTGAACTCGATGTAGAGTCTTCTGGACCACAGCGCCATCTGCTGTCTGACCCCTTTTACTGATGATTAAAGCATACCTCAGTAGCACACCTTACTTTTAATCTTCTGCTGTGTTCTCCTTGTATCTCATTCTATATATTGATATGTTCTTTTCAAATAAAGAAGTTTAGATGAGAATGTTGTAGAGATTACACCTACACATGACAAATGCACCTTCAAACACCCCCACATACATACAAGATCTCCTAAAGCCATATCAGCTAATCCTATTGTAATGCTCTGTAATTCTCACGGGAAGGAAATTAGTTTACTTGTTGTGTCTTATTGTCTCTTTTTTAATGTCTGTATAGTCATTTTTTTATTCTGATGTTAATTTCCAGAGACGCAAGTTCTGGGTTTTGTGCTGCAAATATTTTTTAACCAGTTTCTGATTATATGACATGAAAACTTTTCCTCATGCAGGTGCATCAAACCACAGCTAAAATCTTTGGCCTTGGGTTTCCATGCTCTGGCAACACGCACCCTTGGTAAGTCTCCTTCAAAATATGCATCCTCCTTCGAGCACGTTCGAGTGGCTCAGGGCCAAGATGCAAACTTTCCTGTCACCTTAACTACCACCAACGCTCCAAAATTTCCAGTGTTTGAGCCCTGTCTAAGCGTGTTTCAGTTCTGGGGGATCGGGTTTTAAAAATATGTTTTTTATTCCACAGCGGGGATCCCAGCACCCATCTACTTTGGAGCAATCATTGACACCACATGTCTAAAATGGGGTCAGAAGAGGTGTGGAGGCATAGGAGCCTGTAGAATCTACAACACCACCGCCTACAGGTAGTGCTCACATTCAGGCACATGACATTCAGGGGCGAATACCTGGTATTCATCATGAGTTAATGAAACTGTAAAACAACATAGAACCTGCTACGGTGAGAAAAGGAGACGATGGTTACACACTGGAGAGAAAACAGCTCTCCGGTCGCCCAGAGGCATGAGGGAGAGAGCACAGTTAAAGCCCCACCCCAAATGATCACTCTGTGAAAACACTCCATAATCAGTGAGTCAGGCAGTCAGAAACGAATGAAAGAGTGTAATAGTTATAAAAACATTTTAAGGTTCGAGTGGAAGGTTTTGTTCTTGCAACAGCATTTATACGTTTTTGACTCAAAGGTTGCTTAACTGTGATGGTACTTCAGTACACTTGAAGAACAAATATTACTGGGAACACGACCGAGAATTGCAGATGAATTCAAAACAAGGGCAAATTCCACTCAGCTGAAAAAGTTAATGCTGTGTTTGTGCTGTAATATTAGCACAATATCTTTTGTGAATCGGACCTTGAGACAGGGCAGATAGCAGTTGCAAGTGATGCACAATCCATGGCGCTATCAGCGTTAATTTGCCCCTCAGAGTTTTGTGGGTTCTTCTTTCTTTTTCAGTGTTTGTAAGGTAGACTTTCCCGTCCATCTTACACTGTCCTATCATATAAGGGCAAAAAGAAATAATAAAGATGCTCCTTATTAAGCCAGAACTTCCCTTAGAATCATCTAGTTTTCTTCAGTATGAAAGTAATTCAACAATATGTAATTCGGCATACTACTGGTGCCGACCCAAAACATTACTCTTTACAGTATTCCCAAAGACCCCAAATTCCAAATCATAGTAACACTATCCCACTGCCATATCCCCTGCTGTATCTTCATCTCTATGCAGTTCCTTTCATTCAATTCCTCATCCTGTCTTATCAAAAGAAACCTAACCATTACCAAATGAATAATAATATCCACATCTAAACTTCTCAGGATAGCATACCTGGGTCTGACTCTGAGCCTGCGGACTATCTCGTTCATTATTTGCATCCCGGGCTTCATTCTGCTCAGCCGACAGCTGAAGAGGGAAGAAAGAAATGGCATCCACAGAGCTCTGGCCAATGGCGGGACGGAGCTGGAGGCACTCAGGAAGGAAGAGATTGTGATTTCTAATTCCGACCAATCACAACAAACGTCAGACAACAGCACAGACAGGGAGACGCGGCTGTGACAGATCCAGCAGAATGGACCCTACTTGTCTCCTTCACACACACACACACACACACACACACACACACACACACACACACACACACACACACACACACACACACACACACACACACACACACACACACACACACATACAAACCACAGATGAACAAATACAACCACACACATACGTATACACCCACAGTATGTACAGAGTGCTACTGTACACATGCACACAAAAATGAGATTTGCAGGGAATCACATGTTGTATCCGATCATCTCATATAAAGCATAAATTCTATATTTGTACTACTGGACTACTGGCTTTGTGAATTTGACAGGAATTTGATATAACTAAAATATTTCTTGAATGTACATGCTGTTTTTCCTTATAAAGAAAAGTATAAGAATATTTTTCTGTTTTAATGGTGGCACAAGAGATTAGATGGGAAATGTGACTTGTACAGACTACTACAAAAGCAGTGTAATTCTAAAAACCAGCACTTATAAAGCTGCCTCTTTGGATTTTTTTTTCTTTCTAATGAAGTTTTTCTTCCTGACATCACTGTTCCTGAACAGAAGAGAATGAGTTTGATTAGGCCTTCAAAGAGACAGGAAGTGAGGATTTTCTTTTTCAGGATTTTAAAGAAAAAAAGGAAACACAGGTTGCTGTGGAAATATGTGTTTGAACATGTATTTCAGTAAGCTTTCGAGGGCTTCAGCAGTTGTTGATTTGACGTATGTGCCTCATTCACTCAACAGTTACCTCTAAATCATGTTTGTCTCATCTGTCTTGCAGATATTTAAGAGCAAGTTTGTAACATTTTGAACATATATCTGAATACTATTCCATTTTGCTTTTAAATTTCAGACTGAATGTACGTCTTTACACTAATTTAGAAAGAAAAGTTTCATTTCTGAAAACTTTTGTCTTTTACTTTAAGCCCAAAGTCAGGTCTGATTGTACTGCAGTTTGTGTTGTGTGCTTTCTGGATGTTAACTTGTTTCTTTGGTATTCATAGTCACTAAAAATGGATTTTTAGTAAGATCTGCTTACCTGTTAGTCTAGTGGAAGCTGCTCTGATTTCAATATGGATGACGTGCACTAGGAGGCAGTAACATGTTTTTATACTCTCAAACTAGCACCAGCCCCATGAAACTGGTATCTAATATTTATCTATCTATATCTGGTATTACTGAGGAGAAAATGTTTTAATCAAGACTACACAGCACACTAAAGTTTAGACTGAATTTTCTCAGAATATCTCAATGCATCTCAGCAGGCTCTGGTAATAAACATCCATTCTTGTGTGAAGGTGGCTGAGGTGAATGCTTGCTCTTTTGGTTGCCATGTGTTTGGTAATTTGTACTGCTGCAACATTTACAAAATACACTGTATGAGTCTCAGTCTTTAAGAAAACAACTCCACTATGTGTGAAGTATCACCACAGGAAATGTGCATTTGTGTTACAGTTGTGTATAAGCTCTGTTTCCATGTGTCCAGCTATTGCTATATGTTGTGTCACTGGTTGGTTCGTATTTAGGTTATGTTGGTTTTTTTTTGGGTGTTGGGTGCACATGCATCAACTCCTGTGCCAAAACCCACAAACAGAAACATCACGGTCTGTTCTCAGGTTTTTTCCTATTGATTTTATTCTCATAAACACAGCTTCATCCCAAAATCAGAACCCATTCGCTTGAAGTCTGTCGAAATAATTCCTCAAAACAAATCAGCTAGCTACTGTTATCTCAAGAAAGTTTAAACAAAATAATACTTTTGTCTTTGTAAATGTATAGCGTATTATCATTTTGTAAGACTTTTATTGCCTAAATGAATATTTACCATGCTGGCAACTTGCAGCATGTGGTGACTGTATCGTATTTTGAATTCAGGTTCAGTTTTAGGCACAGGTGGCCAAGTACAGACTCAGAGAGGAGCAGCAAGAGGTATACAGGAAGGAAGTCACTATCTCAGTAATGTAAGGAAGGCATTTACTTGCATTAAAGAAATCAGAATGTAAATCATTTTCTGGGATTATTTTTGTAAAATTTCAAAGGACATCTTAAATGTTACACTAAAAATAAAACTTTTAATATCCAATCAAACAATGTGTTGGTGTTATTTATTCCAGGTGCTAATTATTGAAAACAAGGGGACAGCGTAAAGGAATGTATCTTTATTAAACAAAATGTACTTCATCCAAATAAAAAGGCACTTCAATCTGAATTCTGTCTTTAACAGAAAAGGCAGAAAACAACTTTTATACTTTTTTTTTTTTTGCAGTTCTATGTCCTGATAATTAACTCTGGACAGACAGACAATGCCTATTAATCATTAAAAAAAATTGGGGAACATAAAAGCCTCTGGCCATCACAGCCTCGGCTCCTCTTTCACAGTTATGAGGCTCTGTCTGAATAACGGAAATATAACCATCATTATTTTCATGACACATAACAGTACAACTCGTGCGCTAACCCAAAAATGAAACATGCAGTGCAGCAAATATACAGCAACCTGGGCCTTCTATGGCTCAGAAACATACATAAGACATATTTTAACACCTACCTTTGACCAAGACTGAATCTATTTTATTATAAACATGTGGTTGAACGGGGGTTTAATGCAATTTTATATTCCTACAGATATTCAGTTTTATTGATATCAGCACTGGATGATAGAACTCTCCAACCATTATCGTTCACCAAAAAGTACAGATCATCGGCTGTAATACAACAAAAAGTATGAAAATGATTTGTCTAAGTGCCACTGCACATGCAAACTATATTTGCACAGCCATGCAAGAACAGACTAAATTTACATACTGTGCGTTTCAGCTCAAAATGGGTGCAGCAGGTGTCCCTGCTATATACTGAAACAAAGAAGCAAACCCTTAATATCAAAATACATTCATAGCTGTTTACCACAGTAACAGTAACAGAGAGCTCTAGATTACAACAAATCTTGCCCTGTACACTGTCCACCTGTATAAAAAACAAATGTACAAGCCATAAAACAACACCCATCCTTGTTGCATATTCCTTTAACATATTAAGTTGTCGGTGATCAGACCTGGGTCGATTACCGACTAAATTCTCTCCAATTACCGTGCGCAATTAATCTGCCTGATAGAGTGTGCACTTGAAAAAGCAATCCTCTTTAGTCACACTGTGCCAGGCAGAAACAAGAAACCATCAAATGTTACTCATTCCGTTTAAGCCAGACTGGTGCCCTCATAAAAATGTGCCCCCATGCTTTAAAACCGTTACTGCCACCTTAGAGGAGCCAATCCTGGTTTTGTGATATGCATTGTGACACAAGGCGTGATATGAAGGTAAAGCATGTGTGCGTTGTGGTGGCTCTCTCGCGTTTGTTGCTGTGTAAAGACTTCACCCTTCTGGAGGATTTTACAATTATTAGTCGTCCTTTTTGTTTCCGCTGTCTTGGAGATTCTGAAAAGACAAAACAAATGAGAAGAACATGTCAGTTTATATATTATGATACTATGTGTGACCACAAAAATGCATTGGGGTTATATTAAACTTTAAATCATTTATTTTTTTATAAGAAATAATGAAAAACAAACTGATTCCACTTATCTACTGGTAATCCAACGTCAATGTGTTTCTTTTGTTTTGTTGTCGTTAGTATTAAGAACATCTGTTTTCAGTGTCTCAGCAACAAAACATAGGCTCTAGCACTTTTTCAATAGACTTCTGAGTTGATGATGAAATGAAAAGCCTTCTTAAAACATGAATTACGGAGGAGCCGTGCCTCCGACCTGCCTGATGTTCATTAGTTTAAATGTCGCCCTGAAATTGTTATATCTAGGCAGTTAATGACCCAACAAGTCATTATCCTGCTGTGTTTCAGACTTAAAGTCACCTGGAGCTCCTGATGTTCTTTCAACAGTCTGTCATACTCCCTGGCGAGGCCATCCGTCTGCTTCTTCATCACATCTGCCTCTGACTGGGATTTCTTCAGGGCTGGAGAGGAAACAATCATTCATCAGCACAGGGCATCCTGGTTGACTTTAGCCACTAGAAGTGCAAGTTTTACAGTTCTTTTATCAACTTTCCTGGGCTCAGAATATAAAAACAACATTAAGATGCAAAAGCAACACAAACATTACAGCGAGCGTGTGCACATGGATTCTAACCATCTCCTGAGGTCTTCAGTTCTTCTTTCAGTCTCTCCACATCTTTCCTCAACAGCTCCATGCCCTCTGCGGTCGCCTTATCACCCTTCCCTTCCATCAGAGTCTGAAATACACCAAATGACATGATCCTCAAGTACATGACGTAATACAGCGCCTCATCAGCAGACTGCATCTCCAATGTGAAATGTTCAGTGTGAATATTCATATCTAGTGGTGGCTGATGACGGGAACCAAACAAAGTGTTTGGTGTCCGCCTCTACAAGGCGCACTTCAGACCACTTTGTGTAGGTAGAACAGCCCAGTGGAGTTTAAATTAAAAGCAAAAAAACACAACACTTAAAATCTGCCACTTACAGTTGTTTTTCTTAATTATCTAATAGTACAGTCTGAATCTAGAGTCTGAGTCTACGGTGAAATCTTTGAGACTTGACCCAACCAATGGGGAGCTTACCTGTTTGAGCAACTCATTGTCCTCCATGTATTTCTTGGCAGTCTGGTTAGCACTGTCGGCCTGAGCCTGAAGAGCAGCAGTAGTGGAAGACACTGATGCCAGTTGGTTAATCAAGGTGACCACTCGCTTCATAACCCTACAAAAACACAGTAAAATAACAGAGGCTGGAGGAATATCTAATTCTAGGTATAGATCTAGGTGTGCAACTAACTTATCCACCTTTTTTGTCATCGGTGTGTGTTGATGTAAGAGAGCAAATACTCACAGCCAGAGAAAGACAGCAAAGCCAGAGATGTAGAGGTTCCTCTGGGCCCTGAAAAGCTTCATGTGCAGGTGATCAAACATGTTCGGTTGCAGCTTGGTATCTGTGCCAACTTCTTTAGCTGAATATTTCCTCACTTCACGCACTGCATCTAAAGCAAAAGGAGTAAGCAATGAGGAATAAATATCAAGTTACACCCTCTCTCTTATGTACCATTTTCATGTAACTTTAAGTTTGAATGGGCTGATTCTGTCACAGCCGCCAACAGTATGCCAAAATCCCCTAATAGCTCAATGTTGATATTTCGAAACGCAACAGCTCACTCCACAAGTGGTCAGTGAGCAGGTCACAACTCCAACTCAGAGATAATACCTACAATATCTACAAGGTTGTAAGAAAAATTATGTTTCACTTACCAAGGAAGAGGACAATAAGTATTATGATCATTGTGAGAAACACTTTGTTCCATAACTGCGCCACACTGCTCCAGATCCTCAGCTGGAAAATACTCTGCCACCTGCAACACACACACACACACACACACACACACACACACACACACACACACACACACACACAGGCAGTATGTAGCAGTCTGTCACTCACTGCGCAACATACAATCACAATCTTCTGCAAACGCCCCAAAATTGACAGTATAACTCTGTATAGTTGTTGTACTGACAATAAAAGCATGTTGTTGTAATACAAACACATATAAGACTCTGGGTGATGGTTACTTACCTCCTGGCTGAGATGAAGGGTAAACAGAGGATGACAAGAATGCCCATCTCCACATAGAGAAAGAGGGCCACCGCAGTCCATTGCAGCGTCATCTCTTGTTAAGGCCTCTGAAGATAAGCTGACAGAGAGTACTGCAAGCTCACACACTAACAGGCAGGACATAAGACAAACAAAACAAAACAACAACTATAAAGATAAGGCTCAGTCAGTACAGCTGGGAGGTTTAGCATGTGTGTGTGGCTTTTCCTCCACTTGGACAACAATCCAGCCTCTGTTGAGAGAAATGATAACTTAAGCCCCTTACCCACTGTTCACAGCTCACACACCCACACAGACTAAACCTCAACTCAGACTCATCACTGCAATCTACTTACCATACAGCGTCATCACAAGATATAGAGCTCATATCAATATCAGAGGCAAATATACATAACATAAGCTTACCTTTTTATATAAAAACATTAATTAAATGCTTCGCTGACACGAGTTAACGTCAGTTTCACTAAAAGCTAATGTTAATGTGGGCCATTTGGAAACAGCTATAGCTAGTTAGCTGACTAGTTTAATGTTAGGTAATATGTTTAATATGTAAGTATCTAAGTTTCATGTTACAATTCAGAAATAAAGACACACAACCTACCAGCAAATCACCAAAAACCCTGAGTGAAAAACAGCAACTTTGGTTAACTCCTCAAATCAACCAGATCGAAGTTGTCTGCTTCTCTTCCTGTTCCAGCAAGCGCGTTTGAACGACCTAGCTTCCGGTCCGGTTTTCCAAAGTAAAATTTCACGTAGTTTAATGTCAAATTTTTGTTTTTCAATGATGTGCTGTCATCAAACATTAATATGCCCGCAAAGTTTGTTGTTGTTTGCTAATTGGTTCGGTGTTAACTTTTGAAATGTTATCGTCTGTTCTGACTTCTGTCTTCCGCTCCTTTTACATTCATAACACACATTGTGACTTTACTTTGAAGGCACAATTGCAATTCACCACGTCTATTCCTTTTAAGACTCTTAAGAAAACTTAGGTTCAGTTATGTAATGGTTTGCTTTGACTCAGCTAAAACTGTAACACATAAATAAGTAATCATCTTCAATAATGACAACACAAATTACATTGCTTCCCAAAAAGCTAGGTGCTCAAGAACTCATCATTGTACCAGTATCACTGTCATTTTGTTTTTCTATTATTTTCTGACCAAAGAGATGTAAGATTAGTTGTAATTTTTTTCATATTTAATAAAGACTTTTGCAATATATGAAATTGTCCTATTTATAAAACTGATGTTTGTGTGCGTGCAGCTACAACAGTATATCCCATGCTACATGTGCTAAATAGAGTGAGACGTAAAAAAACTCAGTATGTCCTTACTGTTTAAACAAGCATTAATAATACCAAGATTGTTTTGTCTCAACAGCTACATGATTGCTATTTAGTTACTGTTGGCTTGACTGAAGAAAATATAGCAATAAAAAAAAGACAGACGTTAGCCATACAACTATAGTTTTGCACATTTATTTGGCATAAAAAACAAAAAAAGCTAAAATCCAATATTTCACATTTCAATATATTCATGTTCCCAGATCATGCAATGACCCGTATGTGTTTTGGAGGTAATCTATTACAGCTGAGGTACTGGATAGAGAATTGAACACTTTTCTCTCAGGCTGGGAGCTAACCCTCTCCAGCATGTAGATGAGATGGTGGTGGAAGCAGGTGAATGGAGTGCCCTGCTCTAAAGAGATGTCCACCCAGTCCCATATACACTCCAAAGGAGTATCTTCATAGCCGGAGAACATGGCAGGATTAGAAAGCAACCCCCGCGCAGCCATCACTCCTAATAAGAAAATCCATACAAACAAGAAATGAATAAATTCATCATCAGTCATAAGTAGACAAGTGTCCTTGTTCAAGAATGAAAATTGGTTGAAAACAAACCTACCATCAACACCAGTAAGCTTGTAAGTGGACTCCACATCACGGAGGTACTTTATGTCTCCATTGGCAATGACTGGGACGGATATGCTGTCTTTGATTGTCTTTATGGCATCATAATGGACTGGCTGGTGGCGTTCTTCCGATGTACGGCCGTGGACTGTTATCCATGACACACCGGCTGATTCAGCCTTCTGGCACAGGTCCACAGTCTGCCTCAGGTCCTTGTGAATTCTGTGGGTTCAACATATTTCTTTTATTATCATTATAACTATTAGCTTCTAACCCTCATTTTAACACAGGAAGTCATAGTGTTGTATGTAATCTGACGCATTTATTTTGACCACATTTTAAAAATCTGATAATAATATATTGGCCAGCAGTAATTTATTGTACTTAAACATATAACATAAACAAACAATCTTGACCAGGAATACTGAACGAGATATTTAAAAGTAAAAAAAATTAACTTGCTCCCAATGCTCTCTGATGGACAAACTATGTAATGCTCAGACTGTTTCTCAATTACCTTTAACCCAGTTGGGCATTTCTGCAATGTTCTGTTACTTATTAGCCAACATACAGTATATACAGATACTGATATATCAGCAAGGTGCTAATATTCAGTCGATCAATCGGCCTTGCAGATTAATTGGTTGAGCTCCAGTATAATGTCAGACTGGTCCAGGTTTTTTACCTTATTTTGATGGACGCTGTGTAGTTTGGATTGTCCACTTGGTTTCTGACATGTCTGACCATGTCTTTTACAAGTTCAGGCTTGTTGATGAGACATGCACCAAACCCAGCTGACATAGCCCATCTGAAAACACAACAACAAAGCTTATCAAACAACTTTGATGAAAAAATCTGAAAGATTTGCAAACATGCTCAGTGTGCATGGGCTTTCTGATCCTAAAATCAGAATTCTGAAATAACAGAATAATAAAAAGTGACTGGAGCTTGTCTAACTGTCAGTTGTAGCACCTTTGGGGACAGCCGCAGTTGAGGTCAACTCCATCTGAGAAAGGTGCTACAACACAGGCTGCATCAGCAAGAGTCTGGGCATCATGGGCAGCAAACTGTACAATCAGGGGCCGGTCATCTGAGAAGGAAAAGGAGAAACAAACAATGGTAATGAAGACTTAACTCTTAGAATTTCTGGGGATGGACGATAACTACTGAACGAACGGAAAATGGGAAATGTATGTTATTATGAATGATCAGGATAATTAAATTAAAGACGCTGAATTATCAGTCAATAATGATGATAAAGATTGTAAAGTTTTTTTATGAAAAGAAAAAAATATCTGAACATTTGAAGAATCAGAGCTGTTTGTTTGTTGTTGTTATAGCGATGCCAGTTAGATCTGGTAAGAACAGAGTTGTGGGATATTAAATCCTGCTCTCAAGTGTGTAAAAAACAACAGGTTGTGTGAAATCAGTTATCTTATCGGTATCAGTCATGAGAAGCAGGTATTTATCGGTCATCATATGAGCTGAAAACACTGATCAACTACGTGTGAAGACGCTGTGCATTAGAAGTGGTGGTGCAGCGACTGCAGAAAGACCTTATGCTTATGGTGGTGCACTATTACAACTAATAATGTAATCTATTACTCACGCTCATTGGTAGTGAATTCACTGTCTCTGGCTTTGACAGATCGCATGAAATCAGAGGCAACTATCATTGGAGTGAAGCAGATATCACAGTCATATTTCCTCACCAAGGACCTGAATGCAAGCCTAGGGGGGGTGCAATAGAAACACAATAAGGAATAGTTGCACTTACAGCACGTCTCCTATTTCAGGCAGAAGAGCAGAACACTTGATGATACACAACAACCACATACTTAATGTTAATGTTTTGAATTTTCTTAGAAACTAAAGTCAAAGCTACCACTGCAGAAAGCAAACAGATTGCACTTACTTTGAATATCGAACCATAGGGGCACATATTTTCAGAACTTTCCCCTTTTCAAACATGTCCATGATGCTGGTGTTACCATTGCAAGTCTTCATTCTCCACAAGTAGCACTGTTAGCCAGCTAGCATAACAAGCTAACGTGCTCAATATCCAAGAGCGGCGTTGCGTTTAAGGACAGCTTCTGTCGTCTGACATCTGTTTCATTATTTCAGAGACGAGGACAGACTGGATGTGTGCCGTAAAGCCCCACGCTGTGACATACAGATTGAGTTATATTTACAGTTTACTGTAATTTAGTTAAAATAACGACGCTTCAGTCCACGATGCGGGGAAGAAATGTGGGCGTGGCTTTGAGACCTCTGAACTCATACGTCATACAACGAAATGTTTGTGTGCTTATTTTTTTTATTTTTTTTATCAAACAATAAACATCAGCCAACTGATATTATTCGTTTAGGTTGACCAAGGCACTGACATTCATTATTATTTGTTTAAAAAAATATTGAAAAGTGTCGAAAAGGTTGTTCGATGTCACAGCGATACATTACGTCATACCCAATCATGCAATGCCGCCTTCAGGTTCTGTGGGGAAAGGTAGCTCTTCAGCTTTTAAATCAGTGTAGAACATAAACACTGCATTTAGTTTGTGGAGGTAGCAGCTGTGGAAGAAGTTCTCAAATCTTTTACTTAAATAAAAGTAATAATACCACAGTGCAAAATACTCAGTTACAAGTAAAAGTCCTGCATTTAAGAATTAGAATTATGTATATTATACAATTTATAATTATTGATGCATTAATTGTACATTGTACATACATGTACAAATGCACATCACTTTAATGTTAAAAAAGTGTGGCTATTTCTTACTATATATAGACTGCTGCCGGAATTCCACCAAGGGATCAATAAGGTTTTATCTTAACCGATACAAAATCATCATAAATGATTTGTTGATCATATTTTATATTATCACTCTGAATCTGTAAAGTACAGAGTAGTTAAGGGTATTTAATAATTATATTAGAAGTACAAAGTAGCAGAAGAGTTGAGTAAATGTACTGAGTTTCTTTCCACCACTGTGAATTGGAATAACTTGTTGAAAAGGGGCTCATTACACACATGTAGGGATACACAAACAATCTCAGTGTCGTCAAAAAGGCCATTGCTTGTTTGATTTAAACTCCAAATATATTAATGTATTTATTATTACATTTCAAACACCAAATTACATTTATCTTCAGACAAGACACAAGAATACAAAGGTTCATTGCAAAGTTATTCTAAATATTGAGCTGCCAACCGACTAAACTCAATATTTGGCAGGTTGTGAAAAGAAGCTCCTAGAGTGGACGTCTACAATACCAAAGGGATAAGCCCAGATGAGTAATATACAGCAAAAACCAAAAAGTAACTAAGTACACTGAGGAGATGGTGCAAGAGGTTACTAGATACCAGTTCTTGAGCTCTCATCAGGTCAGGAATGCCAATGGTAGAGGCATCTTCTAAGGAAACTTCTCTGGCACAGAAAAGCTCAAGAAACATTGGACTAATGCATTAAGCACCAATGCTGCAGTAGTTTTGTCCACACACTAAAATTAATTAGTGGATCAAAATCTGTGGCCACAAGATCACACAGAGTTTATGAGTTGGATGTAATGTGTTATTTGTTATTTGTTAAAAGTCACAACCTTCTGGCTGATATCAGAAGAGGCTTTCTGATTTGTCTTCTTTTTTACTGTCAGTTTGTTACCATAATCATTTACAGGGACTACTAGTCACTAACAATTTTCCAGTCAACAAAGACTGGGGCAGACAGAAAGCAAATTGCCTCATACTTTCCATCTCTGGCCACTGGAGGGCAGTGAAGCAGCACGATTCTATTTCGTAATTCTTTAAAAGGACAATTATATTTTATTTTCCTACCTGAACAAGACTGATAGCACATCCTTCTGTGTAGATTGTTTTAGTGTGGTCTGAATAGATTAGCTGCACAGCAGGTCATCTGCTCATTGGCATTTGCTTTGTGGTACTCAGTATCAAAAACATTTTTTGTGCAGATATATTTGCCTTTCCTTGGTGTTGGTGAGGGAGGAAAATGTCTCAGGGTTACCCATTTTGAGAATCTACACATGCCAATCCCTAGTCAAAGTTTGTTAGTGGGTTTGTTATTTTGTTGGCCAAATTAATCAATGACCTCCATCTGCTGTCACATTTAAAAAAGAAAAAAAAAAAAAAAAAAAGGACTACCTACAGTACACAATTGTTGAACTAATGAACACTTTATTTCAAACTGGCACTGAATAAGTGTCTAATATCAAAAAGAAGCATCGACAGATACACCAAGTCACAAAAGGGCAACACAAAAATATCCCTTGCCATGACTGTGGAGAGACCCGTTAATCAGCTGATAAAATCTCAGAACCTAAAAACTTCAACAGAATAAATACAATTTCAATCCAAGTCAAGCCAAGGAAAGTGATAGCAGTGGAATGCAGCTTGTTATTTTCACTTGTAAGTCAGTGAGAGATATCAAAGATACTATCCACTCCTCAGTAAACTCCACACACTCATGATCCATCTGTACTACCTACTTAAAATCAGTTGGTTTAAGCTTACACAAGTTCCCTTAATCTACCAACATTTACATTATACATTATGAATCACAGCCATAATCAGTGGCCTGAGAGAAGGCTTGGGAAGAGCTTAGCTTGTGCTATTGTTGTGCAGAAAAAAAAAAAACAATACCCTGTGAAGAAACAAAAACACGTGTTAAGTATTTTCACCACAACCTCTGTACAGTGTGGATAAGTTAGTGATTTCTTTGCATGCATCCAAACTCCAGCACCACATGTAATTGCCTTTTTCCTCTCCCTTACATACTAGTCGCACATACAGTTCTACAAACACTTTTCTCTAGGATTACAAAGTCTTTGCGCACATCTATGATCAAATTTAAAACCAATCACTCTGCATACTTGACCAGCTTGGCGCAAAACATGAAGACAGTGACTTGAGGGCAAAGAAGTATTATCCTCATCTCAATCCATATGAGTCAATTCTACAGCCAGTAAAAAATATATCAAATATGAGCATGCTTCTGGAAACCAACAAGCTGCAAAGTGAAGCATTTAATGAAATATCCCTTCCTGAAACGGACAGATCATCCACTGGCAGGAATATAAACATATCAAGACATGGAGTGGATGGATATTTCACCCACTTTGTCTCGTCATCTCTGATATCTGTAACATCGCAGCACAAATGTCCAAAGCTTGCGAACAGTACTTTTTAAAAAAAAAAAAAAAAAAAAAAAAGGATAACAGGCTACACAAATGTAAAAAGACAACACAGCAGGTCAATGGCAGCCAACCTCAGGGGAGCTACAGTATAGGGGCCATGGGCACAACCTGTCCCCCCTTTCCCACCCTCACTGAGGTAGCTCTCTGCGGCCAGTCGCCTCCAGCTCCACGCTGGAGAGGAAACGTCTGGAAAGCCGGTGGCAGTCGTAGCTCAGCTCTGTGGTGTAGACGGCGCTGGTTTTCTTGGGGTAGACGATGGTGGTGCTCTTGAAGTGCTGTGGCCGATGCCGGGGCTGGAACTCCAGCTGTGTCTTGTAGTGGCGCCAGGTACTGTGGGGCACGGCCATGATGGTTTGCCTGCAGTGTTCAAGGCCCTGGCCCCATGGCTGCAGGGTCACGCCCTGGATGAAGTGGCGGTCCGAGTCGTAGTGCACGGATGAGGTGTATCTGTGGAGGAGGGATAGCGTAATTACTTTATTTGGGGCAGAACTATGGATTGTCTATTACACTACACTGCTGTCAAAGTCCACTGTTCTCTAGGTACACAGTTTGCAGTTGTTGGCTGTCTTGGTGTGTATTAAAAGTAAAAATACCACAGCCTGCATGTCCTCATGGTGTGCCATTTTTAAAATGCATAACCACACTCCTCCAGCAGGTCTAATGCTGCACAGAGGTCACATCAAAGCCAACCCACCTTATTTCCTTTGGCGGTAGTGGATCGAGCGCTATGCCTTCCCCAAAGGACAATGGGTGTAGTTGCTGGAACGATCCGGTGGGCAAAACTGGAACCTGCAATGCAAAATAATCAGACCCACAATCAACGCATTAAAAAGAGCCACTGCAAGTTCAGTGCTGAGGTGACCTACTTTTCTTGAGTTGGCCAGAACATGCAAGCTGGTTCTTGCTGGAAAGTGTTATTGTCACAAAACTTTCACAAACATTTGGTTTATTTAAATAAAATTGGCTCATGGAGAAGTCAGCAAAACAAAAGGTGTGACAGCAACAACTGCAACAATTTCATCAGAACTGACTTCCTGTGTGAAGTGGCAACATCTACTCCAATGCAAGGATGAACTACCCTACATTTACTTATGCATTATTTTGGGAACCCATCAGGCTTCCATGCAAGTAATACTAAATTCCTGGAAGTAGCCTATGCCAAGTCTTACATATTAAATTGCAAAGTCCTGGCATTTAAAACAAGAAATGTTCTGCAGCAATTTGTGGTGGTCTACCTTTCTCCAAAAGGGGGTTCATATGTTGCTTCAATAACATAAAGGAAGCAGTGATATTGTTACCTACCAGGGAGCCTCTCCCCTCGTCTTCAGACACCGGGCTCACGCCCCCGGCTTTCTCCGTGCACACAGGCAGCAGCCAGGCGCTGGGGCTCGGGCTCGGGGGTAACCCAGAGTCCGGGCTGTCTAGTCCTCTATCAGCCCTGCAGCTCATCATATCCAGTGGATCTCCTTCACATACATTTGGCAAGTTCAACCTGCCAACCATTTCTGGTTTAAAAAAAAGTTGCAAAACTCCAGCGAGTAAAAGGCAGATTACGAAAGAGAAATACTTCCAGATTGCAGTTCCGTAAGAGTCCTCGGGGTTTTTTTTTGTTTTGTTTTGATGTAAAAAGTCCCAACGGTGTCACCGCAAACCTCCTCCCCGGACAGGATGCACAGCCGCCCGCTGGAAGTCAACCGGGCGGCAATTCAGCCCCTCACCGGACCCAGACCTTAAAAAAAAAACTAAAAAACTATCCTTTACTTTGACATTCAAAAAAACTATCACAGCATGACTCAGCTCCACTGTGAATGTTTGTTTGGAGACAAGAAAGTTTGTCCGCAGCAGAGCCGAGCACAGAAAGGATGTGAGGGGAGTCCTGCTGCCCGCGGCTCGTCTTCAAACCTCCTCTACCCCCTCAAGAGGCCTTCACATCCACACACACAAGAAAGGAAACGCCTTTTGAAGCATTTAATGGCTCCTGATTGGATGGAGGATAAAAGGCAACCAGAGACGGAGCTGGTCATGGGAACTTTTCCAGCCCCTCATTCAAAATTGGGCTCTGGTAAAATACCAGGTTGATATTTTTTCCCAGTATTGTGCACAATGTGCACAACTGAAGCGGTGTACTGCACACATATGATGAAGCACACAGGAACAAATGTGTGGCAATGTTTTAATAGTGTTTAACAACTGCCTGTGTAGCATACAATGCAGACAATACAAATAAGTAGCATTTTGTACCTGAAGGCAGGAATGTGTACACTAATGCAGTTACATTTGATCTAACCAAGGCATTGGCTTCAAATGGGTTTTTCTTCTTCTTCTTCTTCTTCTTCTTCTTCTTCTTCTTCTTCTTCTTCTTCAGACTGTGATGTACTGTATTTGACACTGCTGAGTATGTGACAGAGCAGCTTCAGAGACACGGAGATCAAAGTACTGAGACATTTTGTCGGGTCTCTGCATCTTTTCCAACCTTTAAAGAAGTTTGCAGTTTCAGCTAAAATAAAATCTTGTTTTCATGTCAATGCACAGGACACAGAGGATTAAGTTATCAAAGAATACTTTGGACTGAGTGCACACATGTGTACACATATACAGTATATACCCCATGATGCCCCCGACCCTCCCTCCTCCTCCTCCTCCTCCTCCTCCTCCTCCTCGGCAACGGCCCAAGTTAAAAGACTTCAGCTAGCTGGTTCTAATTTCCAAGTCAACCTAGGGGGATTTTAAATGCTAAAGACAAAGCCGACCTCATGTCGGACTGAAGATGCAGGAAATCCAAAGATCCACTTTGTCCCAGACTGTGGACTTGAGACTCGAGATTCATTTTAGGCCACCGTTCACACACAAACAATCCTGACACCTATGACGCATGTCCACTTTAATGGATGGCAGAGATGCACACAAAATGTCAACCTGGTATCCCCCCGACTTGAAATTAAAACAACTTAGGAAAACCATGGTTATCCTAATTTGTTCAGACTTAAACACACCGCCTGTAATCATCCTGAATGAAACATGTCCGAGGGAGAAAGCCAGAGGCTCTCTGAGCAGAAATTAGTTAACAGCACTATGTTTGGGTCTTCTGAGTGCAAATACACTGCGCGACAATGTATTAATGTTTAAAAGCACAAACATTAGTGTCATGAAAAGAAAAGGTGGGAAATTACAGAAGTATATGACATACATAACATCGGCAAGTAGCAGTTGAGGAAGTTTCTTCATAATCCAGCGTCAGCTTGGGTTCATATTACTGTCAGTCAGAAAATTCAAGTCCACTATTTGCTCTTTCTGTAATTCTCCATGACCGAATGGAGCAAAATAAAGTCTTTGAGATGAATAACCGGCAAGAGAGACCATCTCATCTTGCAGGCTTTTTGATTTCAAGATGCGATTTCAGTGTGTGTGTGTGTGTTCACAGTCTCTTCTTGATGAGTTTCTCTAGCTTGCGGATGCGGGAGGACTCTTGCTCAGGGGTCGGGGTACTGAAGGACAGAGAGGGGCCGCCGTCGGCCCCAGAAGGTGGAGTGGGTAGCCTTTGCCTGAAGAGCTCCAGCATACTGCTCTGTTCACTGCGCTTAAGACCCTACACACACACACACACACACACACACACACAGGTTAGACTACATATGCAAAGCAGTTATAGGAAAACATGTAGATCTATGTATTTTAACTCATGTGAAGTGTCTTTGAGTTCCTTGAAAAACGCTCTATAAATAAAATGTATTATTGTTATTATCAGACTTTCAAGGTTTCACAAAGGTTACAACGCTAAAGGCATGACATTTTGGGAAATACGCTTATTTGCTCTCTTCCTGAAAGTGAGATGCGACCCTCAGATCTGTATGTTCAGTATGAAGCTGGAACTAGCAGCCCGTTGTCTTAGCTTGGTGTAAAAACTGGAAGCAGAAGAAAACAGCTAACCTGGCTCTGTCTAAAAGTAACAAAATTCCCCTACCAGCACCTCTAAAGCACTTTATATCTGTTTTTTTTTAAATCCGTACAAGTACTACAACTTGTGGTTGTACTGGCTGTTGTGTGCAGATGTTAATTAGTGAGCTTTAGATGTGCTATTAAGCAGATGTTGTTACCTTTGAACAGAGCCAGGCAAGCAGATTCCCCAAGATAAACTAAGCTAAGCTAACAGGCTTTGAGGTCTGGCTCCATACTGAAGATACAGATTTGAGTGGTATTGATCTTCTCATCTGGCTCTCAACAGCAAAGGAAGTAAGCATATTTCCCCAAAACTTTGAACTATTCTGTTAAATGAAACTGACCTTCATGTCCAGAATCTTCTGGAAGGTCTCAGGATTGCCATCAGCCAGGAGCTTGATGTAGTTATCAACAAACACCACTGGCGGTTCATGTGGGGCCATCACCACCTGCGGAAAAAGTAGAGTTTAATGTTGGTTTCACCCCTCCCTCCTTTCCTGTGAACCATCATGGAACGACCAAAGAGATCTTTAAATGATCCCACATGGGGCAGCTATGGCCCAAATGAGGGAGGGGGGGGGGGTTAGAACTGACAAGACCAAGTTCTAGCTGCAAACAAAGTCGAGACTATCGTTCTATATATAGGAGCCCACTCCTCACTCTTTTTTTTCCTTTTTATACACCAATTACTCCATGCATGAGTGGGCATGAATTAGTTTCACCGGTAATTATTTTTGGGGTATAATGAGTCTGGGCAAAAATCAGCATCAGTCAAGAGCAGGCAGAAAAGGTTTAATGGGGCACAAGTCTTTCTGGATTGGATTCTCTTGGTTGTTATTTTTTTTTCCAACAATAGAGACAGGGTGGAAAACGTGGATCGGATAGCATTTCTTGCAGCCGCTACAAAGCAGGCAGACAGAGCAACACATGGCTGACAGACCCCCACCTCCCACCTCATACATACGCATGCACACAGGGATCATCTCACAAAATGTTTCTCCTTCCCTTCGCTTGAAAAAAGGAAAAAAAAAGAAAAAAAAAAAAGGCCCGATCCACCCTTTCAAGCTTTACTCTTCCCTTTTTACCCAAGGTAAGATTAATATATGAGAAGGTGAGCTGCGCAGGGAGGGAGAGAGTGGAGGAAAGTGAGAGAAGAGCAGGCATGAAAGGCTCAGGATTGTGTGGAATTCTTTGCTTTCTTACTAGCCCTGCTGACTGAGTGATTTACTTAGCAACTGTCCTGGAGCCAGGCCAAGGGAAAGGCCTGTAGGGACCTTGTAAAAAAAGAAAAAGAAAGGGGGAGAGGGAGTTTAAGAATGAAAATGGGTATAAAAAGGGAGAGCGAGAGCAACAGAGTCAAGGAGGGGGAAAACATTCGGGCTGAACAAGGGTGGGGAAGGGGGTCTGCCTTTTAAATTCTCCCCAGAAGAGAACTTCAGAGGTGGGAGAGGGAGTTGGAGCTATGGTGGGCTGGGCTGGAAGAGCATGGAAAACAGCCACGTCTCACAGGCATCGAAGCGGCCAGGAGAGGCCGTCTCAGACAGACAGAAAGAATCTTATGTACTTTGAAAATAACTGAGCACTGGCTCACAAAGCCAACAACCAAATCTTTTACACTCAACGTTGATACTTTGACAGCTACATAAATATTTCAGATATAGGATCTTAAACGTAGAAAAAGGCAGTGATTGGATTGGTTTAAAGCTTTGCTCATCAATATTCCTTTACTGACAATGGATCAAATGACTATGCATAAAGTGAAAGGAGTTGCTAGAAGTGATGAACCCACAGAGAATTATTACCCGACTCTGCAGTTCCTCCCAGCTTTATGGACCGTTTTAGCATCTTTCAGCTCACTGTTTTGGTTCCACTTATTGTTTTTGTTCAGTATTAGCCCTCTCTTAAGCATGGTTTGATGGAGCAGGAAGCTTTTTTGTTTTTAGAAAACAAGCTCTGATACTACCTGCACAGCACCAAGCAGCAGAGACAAAATGAGCAGCTAGCTGGTGAACACTGTGGAGTGTTTGGCTGCTAAAGAGCCAGCTATTTCCCTTAGGAGTCTACACCACAAACTACAAATAAATGCTAATGTTAGTCCATGTGTGCTAGATTTGTAAATAGGCTACTGTTTGCTAACACGTAACAGCTTTATTAGGTGATAATATGTCAATGTGGGTTTATAGCTTGTTTCGCTGCTCCTGAGGAAAAAAAAAAAGAATACTTGTTGAGACCATAGCTACTTCACATCTATTTGTACCATCAACAGGATAGTTTTGATTAGTGTGAAATCATTAAATCAACTCTTGGACCATAACACAAGAGGACACAACGTTCAATTGTTCCAATGAATTGCAGATTCGTCTTCTAAGCCAGATTTCATTTCAAGTCACAGCATCACAGGGTGTAATTTAACACTATTGTTGAGGCTTAGACAGAGGGATTCTTGTATTGACCGTCTTTCGATGGGTTTGTCTTTCAGAAACATTAGTCTCAGCCCAAGGTGGAAGCAATTACTTGTGAGGGACCTTGATGTTGCACACAGTTGATGGCTAAGCTGCTGGCCACAGTACAAAAGCTTGCCTTTACTCATATGGGCTTTCTCTTGCCAAGGCCAACAACGTCCATAGAAGACATCTTTGTATGTCTCTTTCAAAATAGTTTTATTAGAGTGATGGAATCCAGATAACTCATCCTTCTATACCTTCTTACCACAAGGGACAAAAAGTATGTTGGATTGTATCTAATTATATTATCTTGTGCGGCAATACTTCTTTTAAATTTTGTTAGGGCTGTATCCATTGTCTATCATTTTGTTATTTGTTATCAGGGTTTTTCTTTTGATATTTCTCTTAGTATCAGATTTCTAGCCTCCACAAAGATTATTTTGTATTGTATTCTGCTGTCACAGTAATGCATGTGGATCACTCAAAGGCCCTCATGCAGTGTCAGCTACGTCTTCAGAAGCTCTATAGATCATATTCCAGCTGAAGGGGCCTGCTGGCAGTAAGATTCAGAAAAAAGCAGACAGTAGTGGGCTGATGTGAATGCATTCTATATCTCTATAATGTGAAAGCCCCATTAATGTGTGGCAGATGAGAGGAAATTCATGTTTATACATTCAGGGCATTTTTCTAGGGAACAGAAAGGCCTTACACTGGCCATATGGAACAGTGTGCGTCCCAGTAGAAAACAATCAGAGGAGGCAATCAAATATGAACTGCTGAGAGGGGTTTGTTATACAGTCGATGTCTGACGCGAAACAAAGTAGGACTAAGAAGGACTTAGTGTTACAGGATAATACCATAAATAGAAAATATTTGCTGTCTGCCATTGTCCCACTTTTTTTTAAAGCAAAGGAAGGACTATTAAAATCGAGACAGTCCAACCAAGATAACTTCAGGAAGGAAAGAAGGCCTGATGGGAGTCCAAGTGAAATCAAGGGACAGGCAGGCGTGTTTGTGTGTGTGAGCATTTCTGAACACTCCAGGGACAGTTAATTAGGGTGGGGTTAATCTATGGCAGCCACATACCAGTGTCCTCTAGGGTTGCATAATGTAATTCTGAGGCAACTAGCTAGATCCTGTGTTTGCTCTCCTCACTGAAAACAACATCCAATATACACCTTGTTTTACTGCAACTGTGTTTTGCGTGAGTAGACGCATGGTTGCATGCATTTACTTATTTACTTACTCCCACCTTTCCACTGGCTCAAGGTCAACCACATACTGTGTTGAAGAATATGTGCGTGTGTCTTGTGTTGGCCCGTCTTTCACTCATTAAACCAGAAGTGCATGAGCTCCGTTCCTATTCCGTCCCTACCTCATGTGAGGTGGATCATTTTATGGAAACATGCTCATAAAGTGCTATTGTGAATGGGGTTAAAGACACAATTAAAGGGTTATTCTGCCCAAAAATAAACTCTAAGTAGATAATCTGCTTGAGTGACTCAAGACAAACATTTTAATTCTGGCTCGCCAGTCAAACCACAAACACTCAAAAGGAGAAATGTTTGTTCAGTCTATTGTTGCTTCTAACGATGGAACCTCAATCAGTGGAAAAAGCAGTTAGCTGCAGGTTGTGCCAGACTATTCTTGGTCAAGAGTTAGCGTCAACACCAAAGCAAATGTTTAACTGGATATGTCAGAGTTTCAACATTAAATCTGTAAAACGGCAAACAAGAGATAAAGAAAAGTCACTCCGACCGCACTTACACAAAAGGGTCTATCTAAGGTTCAGAGCCTTTAAAGGTCAGAAACTGAAGCCATGGTTGTAAAGATGGCCGGCATGAATTTAGCCACCCAAGTTAAATGTCATAAAAGCTCAAGTGTCCCATAAAGATTGAGCGGCTCTGATAATGTGTTGAAGTTAAATTACTTTGTATTTAGAGTTGAACTCAGGATCTCCTTGAAATCCATCAGTTAACTCATTCTGAGTTTATATGTGAAGGTAAACTGTTTAAAAGAATCTCTAGTGGCCTTAAGAGCAAGTGAGTGTTTTTCCAACATTCATCTAAGAAAAAGGCTCTACACCTTTTCACACTTAAGACAAATGTGCCCCTGAAAGCTAAACAGCCAAAAGTGTCCCTCTCCCCCTAACCTTAAGGATCATCTCTGCACGGGTCATGCCTTTCACCACTATCTTGGTGTAGCTGGCAGGTGCCTTGCGGAGCACTTGGGAGCCTATGGAGGGCAGATCCAGCAGGACCGTCTTCAAGGAGTGAGTGTCAAGTAGGAGCTGGTGGGGTAGGATACACATGACAGAAAGTCAGCCGAACAGTTATTCAAGGTTAAATCAGTCCATATAGTGAATGTACAGCATTCATTTCCTGATGTAAAAATTATGCAATAGTGCACATACATGTACGGCTTAAAATGCGCTTAAGATGATGACTCACAGTGCTGCTCAAATTAAGCTTTAGGACAGATGAGCATAAATTAAACTTACTTGTTCAGCTCCCACCATGCTGATAGGCTTACATCTGAACAGGTGGTTGATAAATTTGGGAATGAAAGAACTATGGAAAGAAAGTAAATATATTAACTTTAGGAACCTTGAATCATGGCTTATGGATAGAGCAATTATGTGGGTATGATTGTATGTGTGTATGTATTATACTTTGTGAACTTGATGCAGAATTGTGTGAAGTATTTGCGTGTAGAGGCCAAATTGTCTCTGATGATAGGCACGTTTTGCTTAATGTGCATGATGATTGACGTCACATAAGGACTCTGGTCACCCACATGCTCCACACTCTGCCACGGCATCTGAGAGAGAGGGAGACACACAGGGGAGGAGGAAAGCTTTAACATCTGAGCCAACATACAAGTAGTGTTAGAATATTATATTATATCATCAGGAATATGTGGAAATGTTCAAGTTCCCAAATGATGATAGTTGACTAAGAGAAATTCTGAAAACCACCAGAAACCAGTGTAACGGCATCTTACAGACTCTTTTAAAGGCAAAAATATGATAATGTTTTCCATGTTCTTTTCTAATGAAGGGCAAAGGTATTGGATTTGAATATCTTCTATACTATATGAGCTGAATGCGTGATTGTGTTTGTGTGTGTCTAACCTTGCTCATAGCAGTGAGAGCAGGGTCACAGGCAGCATCTAGATCTTGAACAAGCAGCTGGATACTGTTTGAGATCACACTGAGAAAACATGAAAGTAAATAATTGCCATCATTCTTTACACAAAAGAAGGAAGGCTCTTTTTTTATAAAGAACAAGAGCTGCCCACTTACGTGCTGAATGTATCCATCTCCCCAGTCAAATTAATTCTCTCCACCAGGACTTTATCTACCTTCTCCTTTAGTTTCTCCTCCAACTGGAACACAGACAAACAAAAGAAAACACATACAAAGCATTATTTCTGCATCCTTTTAAATATATATATATATTTAAAAAAAAGAAATAAAACAAACGGCTTGGATAAAACCTTTCAGGTTGTGTTGTAATCATAACTGTCACAGTGACTTCCTTAAAACACTGATGAAACACAGGTCAAACATGCTGTAACTGCTACATGATAGGCATCTCTTATAAACACTATTATATCCTGTCACTGCAGATAACACTCTAGTTCAATTTAATAGATTCATAGACAGTACAGGTCTGTGCATCTGCAAGATTGTGTGCTTATTGTGTGCGCATGCCTGTTGTGTGGTAGCCAAACAGTACTCTGCAGTACTGAGGATGCTACAGATCAGGCAGAGCTCATCCACGGTGAACTTAGCAGCTTCTGAGCCTTCTTTCTCCTTCAGCAGACTGCTGATGGTAAGACCTCCACTGTTGCTGCTGGATCTGGATGGCAAGATAGACGTAAGAGGAGAGAGAAAAAAAACAGCAGTAAAAGAGAAAAGAGAAAGAAATAGCAACAGAGAGAGAAAGAGGGATTATCATAAAGTGGGGAAAAATGCTGACGTTTAAGGTCTACTAATAAGATTAACTGTTTTATAGTGTTAACACTTTCAATCTATCAAGTTGTGAGCGATAGCTTGCTTCAGTCTTGTGTATTTTAAATGTTTTTATTTACACTTAGATCACAGTTATAGGGTGTATTAGAGTTGAGATGAACCCCAAAATGCTATGTACTGTTTTTCCTAAGACTAGCTAATGCGGATGCCCTTTGCTTCTGAACTCTCTTTGTTGAACCCATCTTTTTAAACCACAGGTAAAGAAGATCATTTTTAGTAACTGAGACACAACAGGCATAACTACAAGCAGACGCAAGTGTCGGGATGCTGTGCCAACGAGGCTTCAACGGCGACCCAGTCATTAATAAACGTCATAACAGAGACATGTGGGTAAAACCACAACATAGTTCAAGCTCCTTTCGAGGGCCCCTTTCAAAACCTTGCAAAACCAATTCACAGCACACCACACTGGACGGCCGTGTCTGCGTGTGTCTGTAAGTGTATGCACTTGCAAAGCGTTTGAGTGCATCTTTGAACAGTGTTTGTACACGACTCAGAATATGGTATACATTAGACAGCGAGCACAAGTGTGTAATTAGCATGCACATCTGAGACAGAAACAGAGCACGTCTCTGTGTATCTGTCTGTGTGTGTGTATACGCACCACAGCCCAGTGATGAGTTCTAATGTGGCCAATGAGCCAGAGATGTTTTTGGTGGTAGCATATTAGGCTTTGCCACAACATAACCAACTCCAGATCCCTCATAGCATGCCATCCCAATCCATCAAACACAGTGAGGACTGAAGACATTAAGTTTCAAACTAAAGCTCCTAAACAGCCCCATCGCCATACCAAAAGAATGAACAAATATGGGTGTGACATGATTGTTTATGAAAAGTTAATCCCAAATAAATCTGCATTTGTGTTAATGCCCAGAAAAATTTATTATTCTTGTGGATGGAAATTGTTGAAATACTAGAAATACTAGTGAGTGAATGCTAGCGAGCTAGTGGGTATTCTTGTCAGCTGGTTGGATGAATAATGTGTTTCCAGTAGTTTTTGGAGGTCTATGGCACACAGACATACATAGACACTACTTGTTAGTAATATCAAGTCATTATTAGCTTTGGCCTTTTCATGGGTCACAGAGGGTGGCGTATGCCATACAGATTATAAAGCCCCTTAGGCAAATTATTAGATTTATGATTTTGGGGTATATAAACAAAATTGACTTGAAAAGCCACCAGGTCACAGATTAGAGTGGATCAAATGTTCTACTGAGACTCTAACTTTTGGACTAAGAATGTATTGACTTTGTATTTCAAGAGAGAAGTTGAGGGTTTTCCCTGTCACTTCAAATCAGTCAGGCTGTCCTAGAGCCAGCCTCTACAGGCTGTTACAGGATGTATTAAGCCACTTCCATATTGGCAACTGCCATAGTGTAGCCAGTTTAAGGAAATATGGAAGTGGCTTAATATTGAGGCTATTTGACTGCCTTTTGTCAGTAAAAAAGTAGTTACAGTAGATTCACCACCCTGTGACAATTTCATGGTAATGTTTATGTTTTATTTCTACACTGAATCTTTTTTTAATTCTACTAGGGGACAAGTTTACTTCCTGCAAAAATCAATGAGAACACTAGCTTTATGTTAAAAGTATAACCTGAGCCAGTCTTACTTAGGCAGGTTGCCAGAGAGGATCTTCCAGGCGTACTCTCTCAGGAATTTCTGGAAGATGGTCGTGAGGGCGATCATTGGTTCTCCAGTGCTCAGTTGGGAGCACTGCACCATGCACTTCTTGTAATAGACAAAGAGGTCAGCACAGCTGGGCAGCACTGCTCCGCCCTCCTCCGTGCCTGCCTTGGGTGGGCCTTGTGCTCGGAAGTCAGCCACAAACCGGTCAATCAGTTCTCCCAGGTTCCTGCAGATGCCGAAAATGTACAGCCAAACCCACACAGGTTCACAGAGACACGCACACACATATACAGGCACACGGTGGTTGGATTAGGGGCACATGAACAAAATTAAATGAATCAAATAAAAACACATGATTGGTTCCTAACCCCAATAAATAAATAAAAGCATAACATAACAGGCACACAGACACAGAGCCAGATGGATAAATAGGAGAAAATATTCCAAGCATATCAAAATCCTCAGTACTATAGTCAACAGGTCCACAGTCGGTGTGGCCCAATCCTACTGAATCTTGGAACTAAAGCCAAGGACAAAACAAGCAGGCCACTGTTCTCTCCTGCTATGTCCCACTGGGGACAAGCTGATCTGGCTGCTGCCTGCTTAAGGCCTTTGGACTGAACTGAAATGAGGTTGTAGCTGTGGAATAGGTCAATCCTGTTCCCTTGGACAGACAAACGGCATTTAACGCTCTAGAGAGCCAAGAGCCAGGGGCTGCATGCAAGCAGCAGCAGTCCCAGGACTGTGTTCAGTTTTAGGAGCGATCACCATGACTGGGATAGGGGAGGGACGTGAAGGATGGTGGCACACAAAAGAGGAAGAGGAGTGTAAAAAATAAGGCAGGAAGAAAACAGAATGAGAGATTGAGATGTAGAAAGAAGAAATCAAACAAACATTGCACAGAAAAAAAGAGACTGGAGAAGGGGTACCGAAAAGAAAAAAATAAAGGAGGTGGGAATGAAAATAGTCAGATCTGCTGTGGCAGCACTTATTCAACCTCCCTCTCTTTCTCTCAGCGTCTGTGGTCGTGCAGCTAATGGGAAACATTTCTGCCACAGTGGAGACAGAGGCATGTACAGGAACAAGAGATGGAAAGACAGAAGAGGCAATGCAGTAGAATGGGAGGTGGGGGATCTGATTGATGAGTGGGCAATGGAAAAAGGATGCATGTGCCAGCTTTACACACAACCTGCTCCTGATTCTGGGTCTGTGTACCATGACCAAGTTTGGCTTTGCCTGCTTGTATGTCTGTGTGTGTTGCTCACTTGTCTTGGGATTCTATGTAGACATAAAGATGAGGTTCAAAGCACTTGGAAACAATGCCATGGAAAGGGTTGTCTGGAGCTTTCGGCTTCCTGGGCTAAAACAATGGAGGGAAAATGAGGAATTAGTGAAATAACAGGTTTTAGCTGTAGCTCCTTTGAGTACTAATTAGTGAAACAGTTTTTAAAGATAAGGCGTCATGGGAGATTGATACAGTGTTACGTGTACTTTGTCAGAAACTGAAGCAATTGAAATTCCATGCTTAAAATACACTCAGCTACCACTTTATTAGCTCCACCTAGCTATAACTGATACAACAGCCCTGCAATAAATCATTGGTAAAAAAAGGTTATAATGTTCGGCTTTTGTCGATACTCTTTTTAAAGAGGTGCAGATTCAACTTTATGGTCATTTTGGAAGCTGTAGTTTGTGGTGCTGTTGAGATTGTGTTATATTGAGAGGTTTTTCTAACTTCATTTCAGGGCTGTTATGTTAAGGCTGAGTACTTTTACCTAGGTGTATCTAATACACTGCCAACAGAGCTATGTTTGATATCTAGTGAAGAAAATGGATTATATACAACTATGCAAGCATAGAAGATTATCTGGGTTCAAAATAATGCCACATGGTTCTAAGTTAAGGTAGTACATCGGAAAATATTTAAGTACACTACTGTTCTTCATAAGCAAATGAGCATGAGTCATATTCCCTTTGAGAGGAGCACTTTAAAAAAATAAATAAAATGAAATTAACATTTATTTACCTTAGCCAGATCCTCGTCCTTCTCTGTGCCTCCATCCTCACCTGGCTCATCCTCCAGGAAAGGGTTAGTGGATTCCAGAGGGCTCTCTGGCCTCTTCTGCTATAAAAACACAGATAAAACTTCAGTATTTTTTCTAATGCTTAATTATTAAAGCATCAAAAGGGGTTTGAGTTCCAAAAAGGCATCACATGCTAATAGTACTCTTGCCTAACAGAACTCTTTCTGCAAATATCACAATCTCTTTAAAATAAAGTCCAGGTTTCATTACTTTCCATGGTTATGTAGACCATTTCACAAGAGGCTTTGATGAAACTGCATCTCCAATTATAAAATTCCACTCAACCAAATCCCTGATTGAATTACAGAACCCAACAGGCATTGGTGTAAAGTAAACTAAAGACAAAAGGCCCTCTGTCTAACCTAAATATTCTGAACAAGCTTGGCCTAGTTGTGCTCCAAAAAAATAATTATCATAATCTGTCCATTCTCTGTATATGGCTTCAACCTCCACACGCCAACATGACCTGGATTAAAAGGTTTCCTCAGGCTGTGACACCAAGAGTACCTCTTTGTGTGTGTGTGTGTGTGTGTGTGTGTGTGTGTGTGTGTGTGTGTGTGTGTATAGGATACAACAAACTACAAATCTGTTTCGTGTAAGTGTGACAATGGCACAAACGAAAGCAAGCAACATCAAAGAAATATTTCTGGGACATTTTCTGCTTGAAGAATTTGATGTGCCTGGAGACCAGCATGTATCGTGTGTCTGTGTGTGCTTTTCTCACTCCAGGTATGTCGGTCAAGGTGCATCCTGTGAAGCGTTTGGCCAGAAGACCCTCAAAGTTTGTGGTCCTCTGAATGGCAAACAACAGCAGCTTCACCTCAATTTCCTTAGCCCGTGTTCGCATCACTTTGGCGAGTTCCACCCTGAAAACACATGCACACAGTGTTACCTCTTATTTCTACACTTTAAATGACATCCCAAAATGTTTCCAATGATCCTTTTCAGTACATAATTGTAGTCTTACATCTGTCCTTTAAGCAAAAACATGTCTTGTCAGGCTTTTTTCTAATGACACTACGGCAATTTTGGCCAGATGTGTTTTTATTGTTAGTTGAGTAACACACAAATAGTGTGCCACTCTTTCTTCTCTCGTGTAGCAGAGGGGAAAAGACTGAGAAGTAAGGCCTCTAGGTCACTGCTCATGTAGGCCACCTACGTCAACTGCACTGAAAGTATGCATCAAATCAGACTCGAGCCAGGCATGCCATGCCAGTGTGGTTTACTTCATGATGCAAAAATGTCCCACAACCACTTTCTCCATTTCTGCCTATTTAATTTAATTACATTTAACTTCTTTTTCTTTTATTCTTTTCTTCTCTTTTCTTGGGGACAGAGAAAGCATTACATATCAATTAAATAGGCTAAAGCCACATTTGTGTGTCTGTGTGTGTTTACCTGGTGATGTGGCAGAACTCCACAGCAATACGCTCTGTCATGCACCACTCCTCAGGAAACATGCGTCCATACTTCTCCTCGTAGTCTACCAGCTGCCGTTTGATCCAGGCATAGCGGCGATCGATCTTGTCCAGCCATGCAACCTGAGAAACAGGGTAGAATACTTTTTCATCAACACCTAAGTATCACCCTTTTCAATGAGGTAATTAGATATTTCCTGGAATTAGATACGGTCTTGTATTGAATTTAAATTCTAACTCACATCTTGGTTTTCCTGGAATAATACCAGGTACTCTGAGAGGTGCTGCCTAATAAACTTTTTGATGATCTCCTGTTTGATGCGTGGGTCCAGCACATTGGCCACCAGACAGGCATCTCTCAACACATTGCTGGGGCCACCTGGTCTCTGGATGGATTGTGAAATAAAATATTGACATTCAGTTTTGTACAGGAGAAGAACAAGACAAGGATATTGGCTACATAGGGATAAATTGAATAATATTTGTCCAGAAAACCCATAAATCTGTTTACCTTGGATCCCTGAGAGGGGAAGGCCTCTTCAAAATCTGCCAGGATCTGAGTCCCCAACTCACTCTGCGCTGCCTTTACTCTAGATAGGACAAAAAACAAATCACAATAAATGATTAATTATTTTCTCAATCAGACAAACATCATATTGAAATATTGGCAATTTCCTGTGGAAGCCTCCAATATACAACATACTTTTTACATATAACAGCTAACAATTGAAAACTACCTAGTTCAATTATCATCCTGGAATTTCAGAATTACAGAGGAATACCCTACAAGCTTTTTAAAGCCATCAGCTTGCTGTTTACAAGTTAATTGAGGGCAAACCTCAAGGCCACAGCACCCGCTATACAATCGCTAAAACAACCACACAACCAATCATTCCTCAATATTTGATAAATGTTTTTCAGTCTCAATATCAGCACACAGATGCAGATGTCTTTATGTGCATGCTTTGCTTCGAATGTGAACACTCAGGTCAGTAAAGCGAAAAACAAATACTGAGCAAAACAATCTGAGTCTGTTGAGTCCTCAGCATTCACCCAAAGGCATCCAGAGCGGATTAACACAGGACAGCACCCAAAGCCATGACAATCATCCAGAATAAACAGGAGAGGGTGGAGAGATAGTGTCACGGACGGATGCCAACTGAACTAGTAGCCTTCATTTCGAGCATCTGCTGCTGGCTAAAAACTCCACTATCTACCTCTGTCTGCTCAGCAACTCAGTATGAGTCTGGAGCAGTCGACAGAAACTTGTTTTATCTGACTGAGACCAAGCTGTCAGCAGCAGGTCTGACTGTACTCAGTCTGTGGCTGCATTTTGTGCAATAATCTAAGTGCACACACACACACACACACACACACACACACACACACACACACACACACACACACACACACACACACACACACACACACACACACACACACACAGCCAAACATTATATCTAACTGTCTGTCAGCTCAACTGTGACAGTAGCAGTGCAGTTAAGACAGTGAGAAAAGCATTATAGTTGAGACCATGAGAGAAGCATTGAGTGACGACGAGGAAAAGGCTTATTAAAAAAGTAATCACAGTAGATCCTGCTCAAAGGTGAAAGCTGCACTGACTAAATTTAGTCACGCTTCAAAGGACTTTCAGGACAAAAGGCTAATTTCTCTATTTGAATAAAATAAGTAAAGGAAGGAATGGGGAAATGTCAGATGGAGGCTCTAATATGCATTTAGCCTGTAACCCTGTTGAATTTTAAAAATGGTTTAAAACTGAACTATGCTTTTTTTTCTGTAGAAATATCCTATGTAGTTTTTACTACTTAAATGTGCTATATATATGTATATATTGATACTCTATTAACCATTTATGTCCAGCTGCCTCCATATCTTCCCCTTCCCTGTGTCTCTCCTATCATCTGTTCCTCCAGCAGAGTCACTTCTTCCACACAGCTGTTATTTGGTATGAACACTGTCTGCCACACCTCAGCCAAAAGAGAACAGAAGGTCATGCTTTTTTTGTTTTTGTTTTTGGGGATCAGCACTACTTTGAATCTGAACATCAACTTGGCCAGTGCGTCCCAAATCTATTTTTGTGTTCTTGGAAAATAATAGCAAAAATGGAAATGTACTCAGTCAGAGTGGGAAACAGCAGCATACCAATGCTCTCTCTCTCTCTGTGTGTGTGTGTGTGTGTGTGTGTGTGTGTGTGTGTGTGTGTGTGTGTGTTTGTCGGTAAATCTCTGCACGTTTATATGTTTAAACTGTAGTACCATTTTTGATAGACATGTTGAAAGCAAAACAACAATCTCAAGTGTGTAATGTAAAAATTGCATCTCCCACACACAAAAGTGGAAGCATATACATGGAGATATAAACACAGTCCCAAAAGCACGCCTCTAATCTCTCACAAAGGAAGAAATGCTGGCATAGTACAACACTATTCACTGGATTTCCTTCCCGTGCGTTCTTGTATGTGTGACATTGTGCGTGTATGTGTGTGAACTTCAGCATAAACAGGATGCAGAACACAAAACACCTCCAGCCAAATACTGTAACCACTTTTCAACAGTTCAGCTGACAAGCTATGGAACATTTTAGCTGTAAGCAGAGATCAAGCTCACAAGAGGCTACTGGAAATTAGCTGTTCTTACAGCCATTCTGCTCCCCAAACAGCCCAATTGAGCTCGAGCAAGAGACTAAACCCCTACACATACATACATTCACTCAAAGAAAGTGTACTTGAGGAAAATATGTCAAGAAATACCCTCACACATCACTGGTGAGTGAATATGTGTGCGAGTGTGTGTGTGTGTGTGTGTGTGTGTGTGTGTGTGTGTGTGTGTGTGAATATTAGTTACCTCTCAGAAAGCTGTCTGATCTGGGGTATGCCCATGTACTTGTGGAAATGTTCAAGCACATTGACCACTCCCTGCAGCAGGTTGGCCACCTCACCATACTGCCTCTTTCTGGTCATGGCTCTGGAACACAACAACCATGTGAATTATTTATATTATATAACAATCTCTATATATCTTTATATTATCTATAGCTACAGTTGTCCACTGGTTATGCCATGCACTTCTGTAGACATGTTAATCCACATCATTCAAGCATCAATCTAGCTGTATATTTCTCCCAAGTTTAAATGTATTCCTAACCAGCTATAGGTGAGAAAACTATCCACACTCTTTAAAAAAATAGGATACAGAGTACAGAAGGATATGGATATGGGATGGATATATCATTCCGCTGATGGTTTGTGGGTTGTAAAAGGTTTGATACAAGCTCCTCGTCTGAAGCTAACTCAGAAACTAATCCTTTTTCTTAAACTATTTTGGAATCTCACAACCACAAAGTCTGGTCTGTTCAGTGCGATTGTACCCACTCTAAAGAGTCAACACCCCCTGCCAACATGTGCAGGTGGTTGAGGGTGGTGATGGATGTAGTGAGGTGGCGCTTGGCATGGTCCAACTGCTTTATGTCCCTCGTAATCTCCTTGACCTGTGAAGGAACAGGAATAAGTCAGACAGGTTGGAAGAAGCAAGAAAAGGTGAACGAATGTAAGGGAGTGGTTCACTGGATGGGGCGATTAGGAAAAAGAGAAACAGACCAAGATGAATGACACACCCACTGGTTTGAGAAATAATTGCTCCTACGTGCCTCCTGAGGGAGGGTCTGCTTTCCAACCCCCCCCAATCCTTTCTCTGCTCACCCAGCCTACTGGCTTTCCTATGACTATCACTGACACACACACACACACACACACACACACACACACACACACACACACACACACACACACACACACCCGTAGCTGACAGGCACATGGAAGGTGAATTACCTCAACTTTAAATAACTTTCTCCACTGTCCTCTATTGTAGAATAAGGAGGCTACAAGCTGTATCTCCCCTGTGCTAGGGTCATATCCCTGATAAGCTTCAACAAGCCATCTTTGTGTGTTTGTGTGTTTGTGTGTATGTGTGTACATACCATTTGTTCAGACTTCTCTGCTTTGTCCTTGATGTCTTTGATTTTGCCAAAGAGCTGCTGGATGGCTATCTGGGCCTCTTCCAAAGCCTGCCCAAAAATAAACAGGGGAATATGAAACATAAAGAGAAGACACACTTCCAAACTGCTGCACCAGAATCCCCGATAATGTGTTTATGTCTGTATTCTTGGGAGTGGGCCATGCTACAAATCAGTGGTCTGAACGTGGTTTGAAAATTTCGGCCCAAGGAATTTCTAAGGCCGAAGTCCAGCTCAACCCATCTCTAAGCAAGTAGACAGCAGGAAGTGGAGGAATAATGTAAAAACAAACAGAACTGAGAGAAACACAGTACACATACTGAGAGTAGAAGAAAGCTAAAGAAAATAATACATGCTGGTCAGCCAGTAGAGCAATCAGGAGTCAAACAGTACAGACACAAGAAGATTAAAAAAAATACTATACCTTCATACACCAAGCTATAATGTACGGTACATTGCATTTATTGTGAATGAGGGAACCTAACTAATGCACATTAAACTGCCTTCTGGTGTCTGTTAAAAATATCAAAAATTAAACAAAAGGGACGGTCTGGATTTTCTCCACAAATTCACAGGCAGACAACATGAAAACCTTGTCAGAAGCTGATTTATTTCTTATTCTGTTTTTGATCAAAATATATATCACCCCACACATAAAATGTTAACTTTCCTTTAGAAAAAAATATACTAGACTTCTAATAATACTTTGTTGTAACAGCGCAGTGTAAGGAATAACTGTGTGTCAGTGGTTGAGTACCAGTCTGGGTCAAATTTCCAGAGATTTTTTTTTTTTTAAATCCACACTCACCGCTGGCCTTGGTCCATGTGAAAAAATTATCTGCATATGTCCGTTCCCAGTTTTAGACCAGGGACAACGCCAAACACACTAATTGGCCGTCTAATTGACGAGCTCTCTAGATATCTTACATGGAGAAGTCTTAGGTTGACACATGAGCCATAAGGCTAATCTCTCCATAAAGGCTGTCACCATAAAGGCTAAAGAGGTTATTAGCAGTTTTAACAGCCTATAAAGCCAGACAGGATTAGATAACCCTAGACAGTTACATCTGTAAGATGGTTAACGTGCTATTCTAATATTTCCCCATCATCTGACATGGCAGCTGTTCTTTGATGGTCCTAAACAGAGATTGCGCGCTGACATCTGATGCCAAGGTAATTGGCTTCACTTGGCCTGATACTGTGGCGGCACTGCGACACAACTTTGACTCTCCTCAGATTCACAAACACAATACACACACATCCACACACATCCACACACATCCACACACATCCACACACACACCCACACACCCACACACACACACACACACACACACACACACACACACACACACACACGGAATGCTAACAGCCGACACCAGCTGTGCAAGGAATTTACCACTTTTACAAGCACCTCTAAGAAACACACAAAAACATGCACACATAAGCACGCACGTACAAACGCACACACACATAAATACAGCTTGCACTGACAGCAGAGGATTAATTTTCCTTCCTGAGTGTAGTCAAACAGCAGCACTTGGTGACAGTGTCATGGAGACATAGTCAAAGTCAAGACTACACCATATGACCAGGCCATAAAATCACAACAAAGTCATGTTGACATTTAACCCTTCAAGGGCAGTTTTAACCTGACTGTTCTTAAACTATACTAAAACTTCATGCACTAGGAACTCTTCTTCAATCAAGATGAGCAAAATCTGACTCTAGCTTGCATTTATCCATCTTTCTTTTCACACTTCAAACAACCCTTTGGTTCTTACGTGATTGGAGAAATGAATTGGAAAAATAAAAGGCAGGTTAAGTGATTAATCTTTGATCTGAGAGTGAGGAGGAAGGGAGTGCCACTGAATCTTTAAAGAGGTTCCCCCAGAGGAGTTCTTGAGCAAACAAAGTGCATGCAAAAGAGGCCAAAACCTCCAAGGCTGCAATTGTCGCTCATGCAGACTCAGCTGAGTCCATCTGGCTCACTTCCTAGTGCTCATTTCCTGTATTTAGCCTTGAGGAAAGCAGAGAGAGACCACTGCCCAGAAGGCGCCTCAATGCCCGAGATGTTATCTGCTCTCACACAAACACGCACATGCACACTGGTGTATCCCTAACATGCAATAAGCAGCACATGTTCTGTGGCACACATAGGCGATATCATAGTTCATTGCGAGGCTTGGGATGCACTTCACTCCTCCCTCTGACAGACATCAGCGTAGCTTTCTAAAGTAGAGAGTGTATTAAATGGCACTTGTGAGTTTAGGGCCTAATACATTGAATCAGATCAACCCAACAAGGGTATTTTAACAGCTGGAACACTGCCTAAGCACAACGCTTCATGTAAACATTTTTAGGGAGACAATTTAGAGAGAAGAGTGTTTCACTTAACAGAGAAAAGAATAGCTGAGGAAATCCTTTGTGTAGAATTACTCCTTGAGTTAAAAAAAATGTTTTGTCACAGCTAAGCCTGACAAAAAAGAAGCACCATATTCTAATCCATTGTGTTATAAATAGCAACATGCTACTATGCTGCTACTACACTATTCCATCTTTGTTGAACTTTTTATGTTCAGTAGGGAAAACAATACAATAAAGTCTTGGCACAGTTGGTGTTTGCAGATTAATAGTCAGATTTAATAGGCTATACTGAACAAGTCACTAAACATAATTGAGACTGAGAATTGAGGTTATAAAAGCTGCTAAACTGTACATTGGGAGACAGAAGAAAGAAAGCAACAGTTTAAAGAGTGTAAGAAAGAGCTCTGGGAAGACGAAAGTCTGGAAACTAAAGTGGTGAACAGCTTTTTCTGAGTTAACATTAAATATTTACATTAATGTCGATTCAATAGGAAGACCACCCAACACTGTTTTCTAATACAGCCCTCTTAATACCGCAGTGGACATATAGAGTGCGCACGCACACACACACACACACACACACACACACACACACACACACACACACACTCACACACTCACACACTCACACACTCACACACAAATCACACATACAGAAAGAGAAGCGTGAATGCCAGGTTGCCAATCATGCAAGCAGCAAGTACAGCCTCACTATTAGGGTACGTAACGCTCTGCAAAGCAGCTTTCATATGGCAGGAAAGTTGCTCAGCAATCAATTAACAACAATATGAATGGCAGGCAGTAACTGAGAACAAATGTTTGGTCTTGTTAATGACATTTTCCAACTCAGACTTCCACAAATAGATTCCAACCAAAATGCTTTCACATCCTTCGTTTCCACTACAAAAAATAAATAAAATAAAAAAAAGAAATAGTGCAAAATAACCCTTCATTAACACTATGATATTGAACTCAGCTGACTGTGGAGCAGGTGTGCATGCGGTATCCACATTGCCATGACAACGGGCAGGCGAGAACGACGTACAAAACTGTGTGTGGTGGGAAGCTCTTGGCAAGCAGACTACAACCAGACAGAGATATTTCATATGTATGTATGGAACAGGCAGACTGGTCAGGAGATTCCCACCATCTGCCCTCATCTTCAGCACTTTAGGAAACAGCGTCTGTAATAGTGTGACCACATGAAATAATGCAGATTGGAAGGATTAGTCTGAACTGCCCAGAATTGAGCCACATGTGAGCGGTGTCATAATTTCTGGTTAATGACAGAGTTTATCTCATTATAATTGAGCCTGTCTCTCCGCCGCTGGACAGATGAATTACAGTCCATCGTATTGGTAACAGTTTGGCTCGTGGGGCTATGCGCGTATGCATCTGTCTTAATGTGATGCCATAGCCCGTTTCAGCATTTCCTGGTTATTCATTCACCTGAATCATCCATGCAAAAGCTATATGGACTCCATATAATCACCATGAAAATTCATCACCTTGCCTTGTTTTATGAAATAAACAATTTTTCGTTGCCAAGTAACAGCACTATTAGCCACCAGGGTCTGACCACTAACAAAGTCACATTTCCACACTCAGTGCTGTAGCATATTACTGTCTGACTCCCTACAGAAAAAATAAAATTAATTCCCCAGGCCTTTCTCTCTCCTGCTCTCCTGTGCCCGCCATCCTTCTCCATAAATGTACCCATCTTGGGTTTCAGCCTGGGGATTGCATTTATCTCAGTGAGTGAGATCGGTCAACAGCACAAATTGCTTATCTTGTTGGCTTTATTCTATTGCTGTCTTTATGTTTCAGTCGCCCTCTTGAAATGAACACCTCTCCATCTTTCCGTCTGCAGAAAGGATTTTCCCTCTGGAAATGTTGGAATGGCACTGTGGGGCTGGAAAAACAAACTCAAATTATTGTGTGTGACTGTATAATGTTATTGGTCTGGAGGGGATTTAGAGACGTTTTCGCTACCAAACGGTAGCTAACTGGGAAAGACAGGGCCAACAGGCCAGACACCCTGACGACAACGCACACCTAATCATGTCAACTGGTCAGAACATACACGGCTCACCGATCAGGTGTCACGTTCCCTTTAAGCCGCAACTCCTTGACAGAGCAAGGACCTGGATTAAATCACCATGGGCTGTTCTTTTCCGTCATGCTCCCACAAGAAAAGGCAAAGACTCAAAAGCCTGGGTCTAAAAGAAATTTAAGTATTTACATACGGGAATCTATTTCCCAGACGTGTTTTCCGTAAAGAGGGGCAGTTTGAGCAGTGGGAATGGTTCTGAGTCATCTTGTCCTTTTCCATGGAAGCAATGCGGAGAGAGGAAAGAGCAGGCGAGCGGGAAGAACATGTTTTTCTGTGTTGGGAAACCATTCTAACATCAAGAGAAGGGTGCTGTTTTGAACACTGCATGTGATGAATAGGCCTGGTGGTATGTATGTGTAATGTGTAGATGAGGTTGTTCATCTCCCCCGTTAGGGCACGCAAGATCTACATGCTGTGTTTTCTACAAATTATTCAAAACTGATACCTAATAAAACATAGAACTAAAAGTTTTTCTAGCTGATAATATCCATTACAGAAAAACCAAGTTGTTCAATTCTGTCAAGCCACAGCAGTATGTTTCTTTATGAACTGCAGCTCAACTCACCTGTCTGCCATCTTGGCCTACGTTGGTCTGGCCTCTCACCACTGTCCTGATGTTGTCATCCAGGCGCCTATTAAATGTGACATAAAATGGCACTTAGTCACATTGAGGGTAAAACAAAACAAAAACAAGAGCTGTGTAATTAGGTCCTTGACATGAACTCACCGAATCTTTAGACGAATCTTGTTTACCACATCATCGATATTAGCCAAAGACTGAGAGGAAATACGAAGACAGGAAATCAGGTAAACATGAAGCAAGCTTTTGTCAACCATCCTAAAAAGTCATAATAATTGACATGAAGGAAAAATGATTTGTCGTTGCAGCTCTCTGGGAGGCTTAAAGGTCAAATACGTTAGGGGAGAATGAGGAAAGACAGATTTCCCACACACTCTTTTCTATGAGTAATACCTTTTATTATATCATTCTGGTACCTGCTGTTTTCAGTATTGTGCGGTTGGTCCTATATTTTACACAAAAAACCCACCTCTGATAGGATGACTTTGCTTCAAATCATACAAATCTGTTCCATTACATCTTTAAATGCAGGGCAGTTGTAACCCGTCACCGGTTGAATTATAACACACAAAACCCAATCAGGTGAAAATACGGCACACTAGTAGGAGCCCTTCTGTATATAAGCACAAACTATAGGGTTACAGTGACACCTCATGGAGACAGAGTATACATAGAGATGTATATGGAATAAGTAGGCAGTATATAAGATTTTTCAAGATAATGTGCAATGAAGTCAAGTCACACATGGGGACATACATATGTACACATACAAATACATGGACACTCCCAGACATTTGCGCCTACATATGAACGCATACACTGGCATGTGCAGTACATACACCCATTGACACCTGCATATAAATATTTACATAGGCTGTTTGTCTATTTGGTTGGTTTTGTTCTGAATTTGTTTTATCCATTTGTTTGTTACGTGTTTTTAACCTTGATTTTAAACAGGGTTAGGGAATGAAAATTAAATTAACGTCAGCTAGATAGACACCCTATATACAGTACATTACATCTGTTACAGTCACTTTCCCTCGGCTGTACAGGCTTCCTGTAAGTCTATTTCTATTTCTTATATTCTATTATTTCTGTTAAATAAAACAAAATCAATTTTCATCCATTCACAGATAAATAGTTTCAATCTGTGTAACTTCTGTGGGTTATTAGGTACATAAAATATTTCACAAACCAAAGCTCAAGAGGCCTTTTTGTCATTTTGAGATGTCACTGAAAGAAAAGAAAGGCTTAACATAAAACATCAATGATGTCTGAATTTCATCTAGCTGACTCCTGGTATTGTGCATGTTGTCTCACTGTCACACTGTCATTGTGACTCACTGGAACAGCTGAGAGCAGGGTTAATGTTAATGTTAATGTCTTTGCCTACTGTGACAAGTCCAACTATCTAAGGTGAAGAAAGGCTGATTATATTTATATAAACCACAAATAATAAACCAGACAAAATATGACAATCCACTATATCTATCTGTATCAGTGTGTATGTCAGTCTGGCTGCAGATGTGTTTCTGTCACTTCACTGTACCTGCTCGGTGGGAAACAGTGTGTTGATGTATTCCACAGCATTGAAGTCTGCTCTGTCCAGCGGGTCTTGGCTGGGGAAAACCTTGTACACAAAAGACAAACGACAGACAGACAGACAGACAGACAGTCAGTCAGTCAGTCATGGCTGGCGGCGTTACTGTGAATATTTAATGTTGTATTGGGTTCAACATGCGAACTGGCGATGCTTTGTAACATTGCTCAGTGGCTTTGTGAAACAGCTCTGTCCAGTAACTACTGACAACCTGCTACATGTTGTTAAATGAGCCGTGTGCAACGTAACCACAGACGGTATCCTCACATTCACGGCGACAGGCACCGGAGGCTAAAAGCGACAGACAGCTTCATAAACTAACGTCACGTATTATTTTCTGCTCCCTTTAACGTCACCACAAGATTTAAATCACCTGACACAACGTTTCTGTGAGTCAAACGCTGTTAGTAAAGTGTGGGAGAGCAATGTTTCCGAGCTAGCGGTCGTAATAACAGCAGTGTGACAGCCAGAGAGCCTGCTAACAGCTGTTAGCGCGACGAGCTACAATCTTTAACACACTGTAATAGGAACGAGGTGAAGCGGCTACCTGCTCAATGGCTAGTTGCACCTCCGGGGTTAGGTGCAAAATAGCCTCCAAATCCTCAGCAAATTCAAATTCTTCCTCCTCTATCATTGTCAAAACAAAACCAGAGACCTCTCCGGCATACCACTTCCTGGTGAGGGGGCCTCTGGGATACCTGGTGACGCAGGAGAAAGGGTGCTTTCATGGCTGTCGGAAATCCCAGACTTTCTCTCTAGAAACACGTACACATGAATGAGCATGATTATTTGTAATGATTTACGTGTATGTGGCATATTGTTGTCTGACATTCAAAGTGCATAACAGCTGTTTTCCTGTATGTTTTTATTCGATTACTATAATTAACACATCAGTGGGACTTTTCTTTCTTTTTTTTCTCTATTTTTTACTTCTGCCACTAGTACCTATTAAGTTACCACAAAATACATTTGTTAGACTGGTTAGTTAGAGAGGTTTGACATTTTGTTTTTCTTTAGGAACTAATACTAATACTACTAATAAGGATATATGTTGTTGTGCTGTACAGATGATGTCTTCCCTTTGGTTTCACAGGATCATGACCTCCAAGAGCAGCAGTAATGAGGAGCATGTGAAGGGAACAAGCTGCCACATGACCTCTCCTGCCACATGACCTCTCCTCTTTAAACACCACCTTTATAATAATTACAAGTAAATTACATCAAATATAGACAGATAAGGTGCACTTTCTACTTTTCATTCCACCTCCATTCCTTAAAGCCCTGCGTGAGCTCAGGTGATGAAAATCTCTTCTCAGAATGTTTTAATTAAATTTTACACAGCCTTACATCCTCTTCCCACATTGCCTGTCTTCCACACGACTTTGAATCTCTTCATAGCTCTGCTCTGATCTTAATAAATCACGGCCTGTCTGTCGTGACCTGAAGCCTTACTCCACTGACAACTTGCCTTTATATACTAAATATGTTTCTATGACACCTACTGTATCAAGAAACCAGCCTACCTCAGTGACATATTGCTGTCATCTGTGTGCACATCACCATTTAAGGAGCAACAGTGCCCCCTACTGTTACAAAAAGAAGCAATACCTAAATACACACACACACACACACACACACACACACACACACACACACACTTCCATATGCCCTAGCCTCTAAGCATTACATTGTTATGTTTTATTCAAACGAGGCATATAAACCCATAAAATAACTTTTAGTACAGCATTTAAAGGACTTGACAGAGGAAGAGAAGCAGCGGGGCAAGACAGACGAGTGAAGAGGAGGAAAGCAGTGGAGTGGTGAAAAGCAGAAGATAAATAAGAGTGAGGAGAGTAGAAGACAAAGAATCAAGGAACGAGGGGGTTGAGGGAAAAAAAGAGGACAGAAAAGAGAGGAGATAGAAATGACGGTATCAGGTTTACCTGGATATTATTTATAGGGAGGAAAATCAATAGGGTGGAGAGAAGGAGAACAAGAGATGAGTTGATCCGGTGTAACAAGTCCTCATTGTACCTTTCGAAAACTGACTTGATGTCTAATATCACGATGGCTCATTTTTATGACTGAAAGCAAAGTCATATAATTAAGAAAAGAGGGACATGGTTGGATTTATGACTCATAGGACAAAGTTACAAAGGCTTTTTGGTAAAATTGCTCAAATTCATTATCAAATAACTGTTGTCTGACATTTTTAAAGGATGTAGGGATGTACTAAAATGTAAAAGAGGGTGAGAGTGGAACACAGAAGAAGTGAAAGAAAAGCAATGAGAGAAAGAGGGCAAGAAGAGTGAAGGGATGGCTGAAGTTGTGTTAGTGTGGGACAGAGCAGCTGTCAGACGGCTGATATAAATCTCTCCCACAGAGGAAACACATCATGTTGCACAATTCACTAGGGGACACAACTAACACTGCAGACAAGCAGTGTGTTTGTGCACATACATTAGGGGTGTTGCAATACATTTTAATGACAACTGAAATATGAAAATGGGATATCATTTCCAGTCATGATTTGGTTAAGATGATAATGTGTGTGATAGGTCAAATAGATGCTACAAAAGAAAAAAAAGTGCTGCATAATCCAGCTGTGAGACATCTGCTTAAGTGAAATTACTAATACAACCATGCAAAAACATCGAATTACAACTAACAGCATCAAAGGAATGGTCTGACATCGTGGGAAACATGCTTGTTGAGTTAGATGAGACGATGAATACCACTCACTCATCTGCACATTCACTACAAAGCTGGAGCCAGCAGCTGGTTTTCTAAGCTTAGCATGAAGACAAGAGCCAGGCAAGCTTTTTCCTCCTGTTTCCACTTTTTATGCTAAGCTAACTGGCTACTGGCTCCAGCCACATATTTACTGCACAGACATCGTATCAATCTTATCATGTAATTCTTGGAAAGAAAGCAAAATACTATAACTATTCTTTTGTTCTGTATTTTTTTCAGTCTTTAATCTTTGCTTTCTTGTGAAATATTGGATAATTATACCTCTTTAAGTATCGAATAGTCATTTACATGAAACCATCTGAGAACTTTAGAGGAGAAATATCTTTAGTGGAGATGAAGCATGTGACAAGGGGTCTCAACGCTGCTTAATTATAAGGGGTCACAGGCCAATATCGGCATAATCTTGGTAAACGATGCATTGTGTCTTATAAACGTGCATTTGTTTTGTGTATAAAATCTTAATTTGCAAAGTAACAAGTAACTATAGCTGTGTAAAAGTGTAAAAAGAACAATGTCTCTATCTGAATTGCAGTGGAGTAGAAGTACACAGAAGCAGAAAACGCAAACTTCCTTATAATGGCATAACACATTTAGAGTCAGATTGGAAAAAGCAGGGTAGACAGAATGAGCAGATAGCCAAAGCTATCATCACTTAATTAGCCAGACGGTTTCTGATAGCTTGTGGAAAGCCATTTGCGACTAATGCCAGAGCTGACTATGCTGAACTGTTGTCACTAACAGCTTTTATTCCCCCTGTTGGCTGGGCAGTGTTCAAGAAACAAGAGACTTCAGGTCAAGCAAAAGCAAGTGGTTCAGCAAGGCGAAGCATACTTGAGTCTCTGGAGAGGAAAAGGAAGGCAGATGAGATTAGTGCATGTCAGGATGAAGTCATCACAAGGTCTTGGGCTTATTTGTGGCGATGGATGTGATGTCTTTCAGGGTCGTCAGGAGGTCAAGATTTAGAGTACTTATGAGAACAGTTGTTTCAAAGTCATGAGAAGGAGAACCTTAATATATACCTTCATGTCAAGTTTGAGCAACAAATCCAGTTTTCAACTACAAGCATCACTGCAATTTCTACACAACAATATGTAACATGAATGCTGCATGTCTACATGTTTACCCGAGAGTTCACCTGGTAAAAATATCCAAGAGTCATATGAAATCTGCAACTGCGACAACTGCCTGAGAGAATCTGCATGTGTCACCGCTCACCATCGCCTCCAAGCCTATGTTGAAAGCCCCAAATCAGCTGCTTTTACCATAATTTGCAACTGGAAAAGCAGAGAAAATTTGCAAAGTGGATGCAGCAGTCAGAGGCTTGGAGTGTGGTCCAGGGGTTTAACTACTCCTGGAAGAAAAGGAGGGAACGGTGTAAGCAGAACCAAACTTCCCTCAACATCCAGGCCAAGATGTTCTGCTTGACGAGATTTTCAAATATTGCTGCATGAGTCAAACATCAGTGTCTTGTGTACTGTGTGTTTTGTTTAATTGAAAAAGTACGATAATAGCATGCTGACAACATGTGCAATTAATATGGGAATAAAATGTATAATATAGAACTTCGGGTGACAAGGGATCACACATCACTGAGAACATGTATTGTGCTAAGGTCCCCTCTGCTTATTGAATCATCCTACCTGAAGAGGACCACAACCCATTCCTAAGATTAAAACACTGTATATTAAGAAGTAAGGTTTTAGCTTATTTAGCTACATCCCCCTAGTCTAACCCAAAGTTGTGTGTAGATGAATACAGCAAAACAACATCATGCTTAAAGGGTAACGTTGGTATTCTAACCTGGATTATTTTCCCATTCTGTATGTCAATGTGCGTAATAGGGAAAACAAGTTTTGAATTTGGTTCAGTACTGAGTGAGAGCGCTGCAGCCTGCAGCTGCAAAACAGGCGATATGTAATCCTTGCAATTGTGCAAAGTCAAAAATACTTCCATTAAAGGGCTTGTTTTTTCCACTGGCTTGCTCAGATTGTTATTATAGGTGTATGACAGCATTATGGAAAGGACGCTATAAAAACAAAATAAATGTTTGCAGCTTGATCCAGTCTGTGAAATCCTCTGTGGGCATAGGGTCACATGGTGGTCACATCACCTGAACATCACAGGAACACCACCAGTCTCCCAAACTTTGCAGGCTAGCAGCAGCTGGTTCACTCTCCTCTGCCCCCCCCTTTCAATTTATCCCTATACTCTGATTTGGATGAGGCCTTTGAATTCAATTCTCACCCATATTCTTTTGAGCCAAATATTCAGCCATGACACTGAAAATCTTTTACATAAAACTAAGCTGCGCTTTCTGGAATCCAATGCAACAAACTCTTTCTGGCCGGCATTACTGAGCTCACGTTTTCACTGTTGTCTTCTCACCTTCTTCATCTTGAGTGTGACCCGGTTAGACACACAGCGGATCAAGTGAAAGGAACAGAAAATGTTTCATTTATCTGTGTTGTCAGACACTCTGAGCCAATAGCAAAAACAACCACTCCACATACCACAACCACGTATTTTGACTTCATGCAATTTCCCATAAGGATTATGTTGAAGCCCTTAGTCACATTGACACAATAACATGGAAAACTAAGATCCAGGTTGAGAAATACCAAAATTTAACCTTTAATTGAACCTCAGCCATGTTCTGTTTTTGCAATCTGTCCAAACTGTCAGACCTCCAAAAACTTTTTATTGGTTAAATCTCAAGTTGCAAATGCCAAAGTTTGTGGAATTAAAAAAAGACATTTAGTTAGTTAGAGTTTGAGGACGAATTGGCTAAGGTCTCCAAATGGCTCAGCATTTGTACCCCTGTGACACTGAGTCAACATTGCATGGATAAAAAATATTTATTGCATCTTCTCATGTTCTGTGCACTCACTTGCCTCAAGGAACAAGTGAAGGACATGGAACATGCCATCTGCACAGGTCTGTAATGAACATGAATCTTGGACACTCATTGTTAAATTACATTATTTTTATACATTATTTGTAATATCTGCAATGTTGTTTATATTATTACATTTTTTTGTGGACCAGGACACATGGGAGGCTTCTGCTGAAAGTCAGATGAGACGCTTTCACATCTGGGGATCGAAACAGCTTGTCTGGCCTCTTCAAAATGATCACAATGCATGAGGAGGTAGCAACCAGCATGAAACAAACAATCTGAAAGCAATCCACTACCTGCATCACTGTAGGTGAAGAGCTGCAGGAAAAAAACTTGATTTAAGGCTGGCAGAACTAGATGCTTTGCACTCCAGCCGGTCTTCAAGCAACATCCAGACAGCTTTCTGACCAAGCTTGGAAACTCATCAACTGAACATGTAGATCTTGCCATATGGGCTCTTTCTTTTCCCACTTGGTACATTCTACAAATGTGTGTAATTTTAAATGAGACAGTATCAAAATGAGATCCATGCTATCATTAAAGAAGCAGTTAATTTAATAAAGGGGTAAATATGGGTGGAAAATAAAGGAAACATGATGTTGTGTCGTGTATGTATGTTGCTATGAGGCACAAAATATATAAAATATGATAAAAGATAAATTAGTGAACATTTGGAATCACAGCAGCCCTGGTATA